CTGCCCTGTCTTAAACCATAAATGTGCAGGTCATATAACAGTTACATGTTATTGGCCATGTAACATAATGAGGTTGCATCTGATTGGTTAATTCTTGGTACCAGAAATCCTTATATAAAAGTATAGGCACCTGATTTTCTTAAAGAAGCCACTTTGGAGCAAAAAAAAAAAAGGTAGGTAATTACTATTAATTTTTTATAAATCAAAATTACATTTTTTGTCAGATCAGCAAAAAATTTTTTTTTCAGGATGCTGAATTGTGTACTGTAGCAATGAATTAATGAGTTCCACAAGATGAGCAAGGTTGAAAATCACTAGTCTAGACATGAGTCCCTTCTCAGACACCCCTCACCTCCTTGTTCCTGTGTCTAACCCTTTGCAAGCTTTCATGAGGTAAGCAACTTCCCACACAAGCCTGTCACCAATAAAACTCGTCGTGTGCTACTGCTCCCTAGCGATCACATCATTTTCCTTGCTCAGCACAGAAACCCTGAGGCCCTGCTGCCACCCACAAGCAGTAGGACTTCCATCTCTGGCTGTTGCTGTCTGTTCTAGCTGGACAATGAGTTGTCAACGACACTGATGAGTGTCCTGTCCAGGATGGAGCATTGAATCGTAAGCACTCCCTCTATCCTCACCCTGAGCTCTTTCTCCTCCATGACCCAGTGACCAGCAATCTTTGGTGGTGGCCACTCTATCAGTCTGGGTGCCTGAGCGACAAGGACGTGAAGAGAGTCTCCTGCTAGATGTCTCTATTACAGTCTCTCTGACCCTCTTGGCTCCACACATGCAGCTGCTGGCCAGGAGACAATCCATGCTACTGTCTTTGTATCTGTCTCAGTAAACTTGGGCTTTCATAACAAAATACTGCAGACTGGGCAGTTTCAACAACAGAAGCTTATTTCCATAGTCCTGGAGGCTAGCACGTCCGAGACCATGGTTCTGGTGGGAGCCCTCTCCCTGGCTTGTGGACAGCTGCCTTCTGTTGTATTTTCAAGTTGGGTTGGGGAGGGGAGGGGAGGGGAAGGGAGAGGGGAAGAAAGAGAGATCTTTTGTCATTTCTTCTCATAAAGGCACTCACCCCACCACGGGATTCCTCATAATCCACCCTCCTGACCTCATTTAAACCTAAGTAGCTCCCAAAGGCACCACCTCCCTACACCATCATGTTGGGGGTTAGGGGCTTCAACATAGGAATTAGGGAGTTAGAGACAGACCTTCAACCCACAACTGAAATCCTCTGGAGATCTCAGTGTCCATTGCTTATTTTGCATAACTATGGAGAATTCAGGCCATCGTAAGGCTTCCTGAAAACATTCCACATGTGCAGTCAGAGGCGTGGATTGCCACTCACCCAGGTCTTGGCAGGTACCTCAAGATCCCCCAGGAGTGTGAGAAAGTGGGCATTTCAAGAGGGGCTGCTGTGAGCTTATTACCCACTCACCTTATCAACCCTGGAGGGCTGTCATGAGACAGGTTGTCATTGCCTCTTGGCACAACTCTGAGATGTGTGAGCCTTTCCGCTCAGTTCCCCTGTGATTGGAGCTGACGAATATGAAAATGCTTTGCTATCAGCTAGATTTGTCTTGTGTGGTATCGCAGGCCCGGTTCCTAGCATGGACTTCCTGAGCGAAGGGATGACAGAAGCATCTTTTGTTCTAATGAAGCTACTCTTGGTGGCCCCTAGGGTAGCTTCAGGATGGGAGATAGTCGTGGAAAGACCAAAGCTTGAATAGAAACTCAGCTTTCAGCAATTGCCCCCAAGCAACCTCAGGGGAGGGGAGAGGTCAGAGGCAATGGGGACTGAATTAATTACCAAGACCAGTAATTCAATCAATTATGGCTGTATAGTGGAACCGCCATTAAAAGACCCTTCAGCCCTGGCTACTGTGGCTCAGTGGACTGAGTGTCTGTTGGTCTGAGAACCAAAGGGTTGCTGGTTCGATTCCCAGCCAGGGCACAAGCCTGGGCTGCAGGCCAGGTTCCCAGTAGGGGGTGTACAAGAGGCAACCACTCACATGTTTCTCTTCCTCCCTTCCCCTCTCTCTAAAAATAAAATTTAAAGATCTTAAAGAAAAAAAGAAGACCCTTCAGGCACCCTGGCCGGGTTGCTCAGTAGATTAGGGCATCATCCCCATACACCAATGTTGTGGTTCAATTCCTGGTCAGGGCACATACAAGAATCAACCAATGATGCATAAATGAGTGGAACAACAAATCAATGGCTGGCTGTCTCTCTCAAATCAATAGAAAAAACTTTAAAAACCCCTACAGGAATGACAAAAATCTGAATCAGAAAATTAATTTAAGGAACCTTGTTAGAATACCAAGTTGAAAGCATTTCCAAAACTACTGGCCTTGTTTTCTGGTGCAACATGGACAATTAGGTGAATACTCATGACACTAAGTCATTTTCTATTGAAATAAATCTACACACAGAAATGTTATTGAGACAAAAGTGTCTTATGAGAGTCTCAGGATTTCAAAAATCACTACCACATCCTTTGAAAATAACCTTCAAAGAAACGCCTTTAATTGGAATGGGTTTTCCTTAGGTAAGTGGTAGCTTTGTTGACTTTTCTGTATTTTTCAACAGCAAGTCAAGTAAGCTCCATCCGGGCAACAGCAGCACTTGGCTCTCGCTCCAAATGCATGTTGGCAGACAAAGTTACAGAAAGACAGTTCAGTGGCTGGGGAGGTTCCCCCTGAAGAGCTATGACTCAGTTGGGTTTTTACTTTAGCAGAGAGATTGAGAATTTTGTCATATTTAAGTTAGCATATCTCCCAAATGCAGTTCATAGACCTCTATTTTGAGGAACTGGATTCTGATTTTTTAAAAAACTGATAGGACATTTCTGAGATCACTGGGGAAATTTGAATTCTGACTAGATAACAGACAGTTAAGGAAGTGCTGTCTTCCTGTTGTGTTGCCACTGTTACATGTTTTCTTTTTAAAGATTCTTATCTGATGATGGTAACTATGTACTGAAACACTTAGGCATTGAAAAGGTGAGTTCACAAAAGGTCAGTTCACAAGACTGAATCACTTCAGTCACCAGTATTCCCATTACAGAGTGTTGGGCATCAGCACAGTCCTGACAGACTTCCCTGCCACCAAAGGTAAACCCAGGCTGATGCAAGTCCACTTCTGAACCTGCTGATGCAGAACTGGGACTGGTGTGAGTTTCTCAGGCACTTGGGAGGTCTCAGTTTGGGTTCCCCTAGAAGCAGACCCCAGGATAAGGATTCAAATTCAAGTTGTTTATTTGGGAAACAGTTCAATGAGAATATAGAAGTTCTGAAGTCACATTCTGTTGTGGACAACTACAGTTTAATACTGCTGGAGCTCATACTGCTAGTTCTAATGTTGCTGGAGCTTAATACTGCTAACACAAATATTGCTGGAGCTTAATTCTGCTAGCAGTAATACTGCTGGAGCTTAGTATTGCCAGCACTAATACTGCAGGAGCTTGATACTTCCAGTACTGATACTGCTGAAGCTCATGCTGCTAGTAATATTACTGAAGCTTAATAGTGTTGGAGATCAATACTGCTAGTACTACTACTGGAGCTCAAAACTGCTAGTAATAATACTACTGGAGCTTAGTAACACTAATACTAGTGCTGCTGAACCTTAATACCAATACTTCTGGAGCTTAATAATGTATAGCATAGTACTGCTAGTACTTAATACTGCAGGAGCTTACTACTAATAAAAATGATAGTTCTGGAGATCAACAGTGCTAGTATATTGCTGGAGCTTAATACTGCTAATACTAATACTGCTGGAAATTAATGCTGCTGGCACTAATACTGCTGGAGCCCAATACAGCTAGTGCCGCAGTAGATTAATTATGTAGTTGTTAGTACTGCTAGTACTTGATACTTCTGGTACTTAATAGTGAGGCATTTAGTACCGATTAAGCTTTAGAGGCTAGGAAGAAACACACACTTCCCAGTTATCTCCCAAAGGTCAAGGGACCTGAAGCATTTATGTCTCAACTCCTGGCAGGTGTTGCTAGAGGGCTGCGTCCAGGTCATGCAGTCCTCAGCACTTCCACAGATGGGCAGAGAAGGCTTTTCAGCCACGCCTCCAGCAGGCACACATGCCCACAGCCACCAACACCAGGCTCTACTCTGGTGGACCTGCTCTGCCTTCCCTCTCCCAAAGCCTAGGGTTAGTGGCTGCAAATGAAATTTTGTGTGTTAGCTCTTTAAGAGGGTAGCTGCGTCTCTAGCTGTCTCTCCCTAGTGGACAGAAACCCCACTGCTTTTCACAGCTGGATGTTATGTGGGTGCCTTTTCCAGTTCCGGTGCTCTTAGGCTGGGTGGGGAAGCCAGACTTGGAATTGAGACACCACCCTTCCCAGGGGGAATCTTCCCAGCCGCTGAAATACCTCTCCAGAACTTCATGTGCCACCCGTAGAGCCCAGCCAGCCCTCTCACGCCTCTGCACTTCCTCCCAGTCTTGATGTGGTTTCTTCTGTAAGTCCTTGTATAAGGCTTCTCTCCAGCTCGTCCTCAGTTCATTGTTCAGGATGATTGTTCTCTAGTTTCACTGTAATGTCAGTTTCATCCTGGGAAGAAGATGAGTGGAGCTTCCATCCAGCCCTCTGCCATCTTGGATCCCTCGCCCCTACAATTCATCCTTATCAGCTCTGTACCCACTTCCACCCTCCCATGCTCCCAAAGGCATAACCAGAACTTGTACCTGTCACTTCCACTCATACCCTGTTGACCAGAAACACCAACCACGGGAAAGAAATGGAGTTCTGATTCTGATGGCCCTGGGCCCTGCTGAATTCTGTCACTGTGTAGAAGGGGACAATGGTTATACAATTTGATGAGCAATTTCTCACATATTATGCACATTTGTGAGTAGGCCTTAGACTGTATTGGGTGATCTAAATTCTGTGCTTGGCCCAGCCTGGGGGAAGTGACTTGAGAGTGTGTTGCAATAAATAGTCATCATTTCCTGATTATGACTGGGAGGCAGGGACTGTGGGTATGTAACAGCAGATGATTAAAAATGGAACAAAGCTGTTATAGCACATCAAGGAGTCATGAGACCATTTTGACTTACCACAAACAGCAAAATTCAAAGAAGATCCTGGAAAGAAGCTTAGGGGGCCACAATGATCCTGCCATCCCTGGCCCTCTTCTGTGTTGGTAAGTATGGGGGAGGGTAGAGGAGCCAATGAGGGTGGTGGTGAGGCAGGCTGTGGAGGAAGATGGTGTTGCTATGACTTGTGGGGTAGGTAATGGCTTCGGAGGAATAAGCAAAGAATAGAAACTTTCATTTCTAGTTTAATTTTTTAAAAACATTTCATGTATTTATTTTTAGATAGAAAGGAAGGGAGAAAGGAGAAGGAGTGAAACACTGATATGGAGAGACACAGATTAGGTGTCTTTTGCATGCCCCTAAGGACCTGGCCTGCAGTCCATGCATGTGTCATGACCAGGAATGAAACCAGTGGCGATTTTTTGGTTCACAGGTGGTGCTCAATCCACAGAACCACACCTGCTGGGCTCTTTTCTAATTTTCTTTAAATGTATTTTATTGACTATGCTATTACAGTTGTCCCATTAGTCCCCTTTATTCCCCTCTGCCCTGTGCACTCCCCTCCACCCACATTCCCCCCCTTTAGTTCATGTCCATGGGTCATACATGTAAGTCCTTTGGCTTCTACATTTCTTATACTATTCTTAATCTCCCCCTGTCTATCTTCTACCTACCATTTATGCTACTTATTCTCTGTACCTTTTCCCCCTCTTTCCCCCTCCCCCTCCCCTGCTGATAACCCTCCATGTGATCTCCATTTCTTTGGTTTTGTTTCTCTTCTAGTTGTTTGCTTAGTTTTTGTTTTTGGTTTAGGTTCAGTTGTTAATAACTGTGAGTTTGTTGTCATTTTACTGTTCACATTTTTTATCTTCTTTTTCTTAGATAAGTCCCTTTAACATTTCATAGAATAAGGGCTTGGTGATGATGAACTCTTTTAACTTGACCTTATCTGGGAAGCACTTTATCTGCCCTTCCATTCTAAATGATAGCTTTGCTGGATACAGTAATCTTGGATGTAGGTCCTTGACTTTCATGACTTGGAATACTTCTTCCCAGCCCCTTCTTGCCTGCAAGGTTTCTTTTGAGAAATCAGCTGACAGTCTTATGGGCACTCCTTTGTAGGTAACTTTCTCCTTTTCTCTTGCTGCTTTTAAGATTCTCTCCTTATCTTTTTCTTTCTTTACTTTTTTCTTTCTTTATTTATTTTATTTTAATCATTGTTCAAGTACAGTTTTCTCCCTTTTACTCCTAATCCAGCCCACCCACCCAACCCTCCACACTTCCCTCCCATTACCACCCTCCCCCTAGTTTTTGTCCATGTGTCCTTTAAATTTGTTCCTGTAAACCCTTCCCATTCTCCCCTGAAATTCCCTCTTCTCTCCCCTCTGGTGACTGTCAGCCTGTCTCTATTTCAGTATCTTTGACTATATTTTGCTTGTTTCTTTTTTGCTGTTGTTTAGGTTCCTGTTAAAGGTGAGATCATATGATATTTGTCTTTCACTGCCTGGCTTATTTCGCTTAGCATAATGCTTTCCAGCTCCATCCAAGCTGTTGCAAAGAGTAGGAGCTCCTTCTTTTTTTTCTGCTGCATAGAATTCCACTGTGTAAATGTACCATAGTTTTTTGATCTATTCATTTACTGATGGGCATCTAGGTTGCTTCCAGCACCTAGCTATTGTAAATTGTGCTGCTATGAACATCAGGGTGCAAAGGTTCTTTTGTATTGGTGTTTTAGTGTTCTTAGGATATAGTCCCAGCAGTGGAATTGCTGGGTTGAAAGGCAGATCCATTTTTAGTTTTCTCTTCTTATCTTTAATCTTGGCTAATGTAATTATGATGTGCCTTGGTGTGTTTCTCCTTGGGTCCAACTTCTTTGGGACTCTCTGAGCTTCCTGGACTTCCTGGAAGTCTATTTCCTTTGCCAGATTGGGGACGTTCTCCATTATTTTTTCAAATAAGTTTTCAATTTCTTGGTCTTCCTCTTGTCCTTCTGACACCCTTATATGACTGAGATGTTGGAAATTTAAAGATGTCCTCGAGGTTCCTAAGCCTCTCCTCAATTTTTTTGAATTCTTGTTTCTTCATTCTGTTCTAGTTGACTGTTTCTTCCTTCCTTCTGGTCCACACCGTCGATTTGAGTCCCAGTTTCCTTCCCATCACTGTTGGTTCCCTGTACATTTCCCTTCATTTAATTAGTGTAGCCTTCATTTTTCATCTACTTTGCAACCATATTCAACCAATTCTGTGAGCATCCTGATTACCAGTGTTTTGAATGGTGCATCTGATAGGTTGGCTATCTCTTCGTCACTTAGTTGTATTTTTTCTGGAGCTTGGATCTGTTCTTTCATTTGGGCCATTTTTTTCCTGTCTCGGGCACCTGTTATGTAGTAAGGGGCAGAGCCATAGGTGTTCACCAGGGTGGGGCATCCCACATTGCTGCACTGTGATGCTGTATGTGCGGGGAGGGGTCCGAGAGGGGACAATGCTGCTTGCTCCACTTGCTGCCGGATTTCAGTCACTTCCCCCATTTCCCACAAGCAAATTGGGCCCTTCTGGTGCTGATTGCTGGATGGGTGGGCTTGTGTACTTTCCCAAACCCTGTGGGTCTCTCCAACAAACTCTCCTGTGAGGCTGGGAGTTTCTCCCCCAGCCACAATCCCCAGCAGTGTTTTCAGTCAGAGGTCTGAGGCTTTATTTCCCTGCATTAAAGCCCTGGGTTGTGTGGTCTGTCTCACTCCCCAGTTGTTCCTCCTGGTTTATCCACACATGAATGTGGGACCGCCCACTCTGCCAGCTGCCACCTTGCTCCAAGTCCTGTCCACCCTGGCCGCCCATCTCCGCCCCTCCTACCAGTCTGGATGAACGTTTCTTCCTTAACTCCTTGGTTGTCGAACTTCCATACAATTCGATTTTCTGTCAGTTCTGGTTGTTTTTTGTGTTTAAATTTGTTGTTGTCCTTCTTTTGGTTGTGGGAGGAGGCACAGTATGTCTACCTATGCCTGCATATTGGCCAGAAGTCCCTCACACAGTTTCTCTTTTCTAATTAAAAAAAATTTTTTTTAAATCCTTTCCTGAGATTATGCTTGTTGATTACAGAGAGAGGAAAGGAAGGGGGTGGAGAGAGAACATCGATGTGAGACAGAAACATGGATTGGTTGCCTCCTATTGTGCCTTGACTAGGGACTGAACCCACTTCATTTGATGTATGGAATGATGCTCCAACCAACTCAACCACCTGGCCAGGGCAAAAACTTTCATTTCTTGAATACCTATTACATACCAGAAAAGTGTTGGGGACCTTACACACATTTTCCTTCATCTATCCCTTTCCCAATCTCAGTCATTATTGAACTACCCAATGGCATTTTGCCAGATGTACATGATATCTATATTCTTTCATATAAGTGATAGTCTTCTTCACATTGCTTCAGATTTTTATATTATTCATTTTATGTTCAATGCTATTTTGAAAGGTCTATAAAACACTTCTATTAATGGAAAATCAGTATCACTCATCAAAAATACAATATAGTTGTCAGTATATAGTAAGCAGGGGAAACAATACGATTAAGTTCTAGTAGCTACTGCTACTTGACTGTAGACACTGGGCCACATTCCCGCCCTGCCCCTGGTCTTTCTTCCTTAGAGATAAAAGTGAATACAATGGGTTGGAGCCCTGGCTAGGTAGCTCAGCTGGTTAGAGCATCATCCCAATACACCAAGGTTGTGTGTGTGATCTTTGGTCAGGGCACATACAAGAATCAACCAATGAATGCATCAATAAGTGGAACAACAAAACAATGTCTATCATCTGTCTCTCTCTTTCCCTCTCCCTCTCTCACATCCTCTTTCTAAAAAATCAACACATAAAAAGAAATGGGTTAGAAACTAGCACCTGGCTGCAATATTCTTCCGTGACAGAGACAGAGACAGAATGAAAAGAGAATGACTTTCTCGCAAAATCAGTATTACTTAATCTTGTGTCTTTGTATGACTTCAAGTCATGTTACTTGCCTTAGAGAAATTTTGCAAAATACTCACATCCCCATATTGCCTGTTGAGGAACTTGAGAGTGACTGCTGATGTCACACAGAAAGCCACTTGGCTACTAAGTAAAGCTGAATTTAAAGTCTGGTCTGAACAGTTCCAATGACCCCCAACTTTCCACAGAGTCATCCTGGGAAATTTAAAAGGTCATAGTTTGGAGGAAGTTGGGCAGGAAATACCTAGAGGGGGAATGAAGGGAGTCACGGCTGGGAAAACTTCAGGGAGGGAAGTAAACAGTGAATCCCAGGATCTCTGCAGTGTTGGCAACTTGTTACATAGAGGACCCGACAGTCAAATGGGCTCAGCGGGGCCCGCAATCTCTGCTGCAAATACTCACCACCTGTTAGAATGGCCACCATCAAGAAGGTGTGATACCAAGTGTTGGAGAAGGTGTGGAGAAAAGGGAATGTAAATGGGCAAAGCCACTATGGGAGTTCCTCCAAAAGTTACAAATAGAGTTATCATGTGACCCAGCAATTCCACTTCTGGGCATATAGCTGAAGGAAATGAAAACACTATCTTAAAGAACTATTACCTTGGCCAGGTGGCTCAGTTGGTTGGAGCATCATTCTGTATACCAAAAGCCTGAGAGTTTAATCCCTGGTCTGGGCACCTACCTAGGTTGCAAGTTTGACCCTTGGTCAGGGTGTGCATGGGAGGCAACTGATTGATGTTTCTCTCTCATGTCAATGTTTCTTCTCTCTCTCTCTCTCCCCCTCCCCTTCCTCTCTTTGTGTAATCAATAAACATATCCTCAGGCGAGGATTTCTTAAAAAGAGGTATCTGCACCCTTATGTTCACTGCATTATTATTTACAATAGTGAAAACATGAAAACCACCTAAGTGGTTCACCAATAGATGAGTGGCTAGTGAAGATGTGAGATCAATCGATTGACTGATCTAATACACCTTGATTTTAACCATTGATTAAAATCAGTGCAACCTTGATTTTAGGTAGTGAAACAAATGATGCTAGATTTCTCTCATGAACCAAACTGCGCTGTAATATGTTTGTGTTGTTATGAGCCAGGAACTGTGTGGTAATTTGTTACGGCTGCCCTAGGGAAGAAATATAAGCTGCAAATTGACACTGATGCCAACTGGGTTCTTGGGGAGGGGGCTGGGACTGCTGGGGAATATGATAATGAGCGGCTCATTTTCAGCAAAAGCCCTGGATGGTTCCTAGGGGACCAGGGTAGATTGAGGACATGGGCTCCAGGCAGGTGTTTATGTCTCATGGATGATTCCCTTTCAGGGCTGTGTGTTGGCCTACGAGACTGGATAACAGACGGTGAGTCTTTCTACAGTGAAACTTTCCTTCTCCTTCATTCCAAATTCCCCATATCCCCTTTCCAATTTCAAAAGCACAGGTCAGTGTATCAAACCAAGCCCTGGACTCTGCTTCCTTCCAGAGTCACTTCCCAGGCCCTCCATCAGTGTCTGGCCCAGCTGGGTGGTTCCCACTCACAGTAAGGTGACACTGCAATGCTCAGCTCCTATCAAGAATGTCAACTTTATTTTTAAAAAAAATAACTCCACCATACAGTGCTTGGAATCTTCTGATACCATAGAGACTGTGACAGAACTTCACCTCACCGATCTACAAAACAGTGATGCTGGAGAGTACACCTGTGAATATTATAGAAGACAGAGCCCCAACAAAAGGTCACCACCCAGTGATGTCCTTCTACTACTGGTGACAGGTGAGGACAGGGTGCTCAGAATGACACATGCTCTTCCTAGGACAGGGTTGAGGGGGCATCCAGAGAAAAAGAGTGGGGTCAGGGGTCTCATCTCCAGTGTAGATAGGGAAGGGGAGATGAGAAAAACAGGAACAGAATTGAGGACTGTGGCTTCACCCAGGGCTTGTAGGAGGGAAACCTACTTCCTGGAGTCAGAGCAGAAAGAGGGTGAGATCAGGTGACTGTCACTTCCCACATTCCCTAAGAATCCTGCAAGGACAGTAAGGTTGATGGGGCACCCAAGGCTTCTCCCATGATTTCTGAGCCTTCCTTCTCTTACAGGGTATTTAGCCAAACCTTCCCTCCAAGGCCACCATAGGGGCAATGTGACTGCAGGAGAAAACATGACTCTGCAGTGCCAGAAGCCCAGCCATGTGATTGAGTCTTACATGTTTGTTCTACTGAAGAAAGGAACTCCAACATCCATACAGCTGCAGAATCCAGTAGGGGAGGAGCCAGGCTTTCCCCTTCGAAGTGTGACAGTCAGTGACACTGGGAACTACAGCTGTGTGTACTACCAAAAAAGGGCTCCTTTCCTGGCCTCAGTACCCAGTGATCACTTTGAGATCTGGGTGACAGGTAAGGTTTTTACCATGAGGAGGACAATAGCTGAATTATATGCCACCTGGAGTATACCAGAGGGAGGCTCTGTCCCTACAAAACTCTGGAGCTTGGGGGAAAAAATCACTTGGAAATAAGAAAGTTAGGGCCAGAACCATGTGGTAGAGTGGACAGGATCTTCTGCTAACAGAGGGAGTGTGAGTGGTGGGGAACCACAGGAAAGGAGGCTTGGTGGATTCATAATAGCCTACCCCACTAAGAAAATAAGATCTAGCCACAAAGTTATTGCCTATCTCCTGGCAGGACACCATTCATTTAGACTAAAGTGTGAATGACATTTCATGGAGTTATACAGTAGGAACTTTAATTCCTTGCCAGACAAACTGAGAAGCTCCAGGAGATCTGTTTTATGTTCATTGTCTACCATTCATACCTTTTAGCTCTTCTCTTCCTGCCTAGACTTTTTTTAAGGGGTGATTTTTTTTTACAAGTGATAAAAATGCATAATATAAAATTTACCATTTTAACCACTTTTAAGTGCACAGTTCAGTGGTGTTAAGTACATTCACATTGTTGTGCTGCAGTCACCACTGTCCACCCATTGGACTCTCTTCATCTTTAAAATTGAAACTCTGTCCCAACCCCTTCCCATTCCCACTTCCCCAGCCCCTGGCACCCACCACTCTACTATGTCTCTATGAATATGACTAGTCTAGACACCTCACAGAAGTGGAATCGTACAGTATTTGTATTTTTGTGACTGGCTTATTTCCCTTAGCATAATGTCCTCAGGGTTCCTCTATGTTGCAGCACATCAGAATTTCCTTTTTTATTTTATTTTTATTCATTTATTTTTAGGAAGAGAGGAAGGAAAGGAGAAAGGGAGGGAAACATCAATGTGTGGTTGCCCCTCACACACCCCCTACTGGGGACCTGGCCCGCACTCAGGCATGTGCCCTGACTGGGAATCAAACCATGACCCTCTGGTTTGCAGGCCGGCACTCAATCCACTGAGCCACACCAGCCAGGGCAGAATTTGCTTCATTTTTAAGGCTGAATGATGTTTGACTGCATGGCTAGACCACATTTTGTTTTTCCATGCACTTGCTTATGGGCACTTGGGTTGCTTCTATCTTTTGGCTATTGTGAATAATGCTGCTATGAACACGGGTGTGCAAATATTTCCTTGAGGCCCTGCTTTAAATTTTGCTGCATAAATACCCATAAATGGAATTGCTGCATCAGAGGTAATTGTGTTTAATTTTTTGAGGAGCCTCCACACCAAATTCATATGTTGAATTCCTGGTGTCCCAGCGTGATAGTATTGGGAGATGGGGACTCTGGGAGGCAAATTAAGTCATGAGGGTGGAGACCTCATGCCTGAGATGAGGGCCCTTATAGAAGAGACTCAAGAGAATGCCCTGTCCCCTTCTGTCATGTTCTTTGGGATATCTTTCCTGCTCTACAGTCCATTTGTTTACTCCATTCTCTTTTCTAGGTCAGTGTGAAGGTAGTCAATGTCCCCTCCAGGGATAGATAACTGGGGCAAAACATTCAAGCCACCAGAACCATCTGAGCAAGAAACAGGCATCCATCACTCAGGTAGATGGCCCCATGGTCTGAAAGGGTATAAAGGGAGTATTGTTTTGCAAATAATTATAATCATTTGGATCTTAGTTGGGCCCTGTAACTAATAACACATTTTCCTACAGATTACTTAGCCTCTCTCTGTCTCAGTTTCTTCATCTGTTAAATGGGGTTGACAGTAAGTAGCACTGACACAATGGACTTGTGATGAGATTCTGATGAGTCATTTTACCAAAATCCTTCCCAAACCTGTGTCTGGTGCATAGCAAATACCATATACATATTTGCTGTTACTATCATTATGAACACCCAAAACTTCCCCCTCTGAATTCCAAAACAGTTCTATCAAGAACTACATTCCTGGCCAGGCAGTTCAGTTGGTTAGAGGATCATCCCGATGCATCAACATTGTGGGTTCAATGCCCGATCAGGGCATGTACAAGCAGCAGCCAATAAATGCATCAACAAGTGGAACAACAAACCAATGTTTCTCTTTCTAAAAAAAAATTGTATCCCTCTCAAAATAATGATAAGTATTCTTATCATTACTATTAATTACAAAGATTGGTGGGAAATTATGACACCTAAGGTACGCCAGGTTCTAAAAACACCAGGGGTGTATGTATGCCTGTCTCTTTAACTCAGTATAATCACATCTGACAAAGGTAAGCACAGATGAGGTAGTCTTTTCCAAAAGTGATGATAAAGAGAGGGGCAAAATGGGGTTCCACTGCTGTGACTCTATCCTAAGAATACTAAAACACCAATTCAAAAGAACCTATGCATCCCAATGTTCATAGCAGCACAATTTACAATAGCTAGATGCTGGAAGCAACCAAGATGCCCATCAGTAAATGAATGGATCAAAAAACTATGGTACATTTACACAATGGAATTCTATGCAGCAGAAAGAAAGAAGGAGCTCCTACCCTTCGCAACAGCGTGGATGAAGCTGGAAAACATTATGCTAAGCGAAATAAGCCAGGCAGTGAAAGACAAATACTATATGATCTCACCTTTAACAGGAACCTAAATAACAAAACAAAGAAACAAGCAAAATATAACCAAAGACACTGAAATAGAGGGCAGGCTGACAGTGCCCACAGAAGAGAGTAGAGGGAATTTAAGGGGACAGTGGGAAGGGTTCACGGGAACAAGCTTAAAGGACACAAGATCATAAACTAAGGGGAGGGAAGTGGGGAGGCGTGGGGGGGTTGGATTGGGAGTAAAAAGGAGAAAACTGTATTTGAACAATGATTAAAATAAAATTAAAAAAAGAGAGGGGCAAAATGAGAAGAATGACCTAGTAAGTTGGACCTGCTCTCCACAGAAAAGGGAACTTTTATTTAAAAGTTTTCAGTTACTCAACAACCGGTAATTAATAGATTTTCCCATTCCTCCATTTATTCATGGCATAAGAGGGGCCTTGTGGCTTTTTTCCTTGATGGTCATCGAGGAAGACCTCGATGCTGCTGCTTGAATATGCTGATGTAACAGGTGTCCAAGCAAGTGTTGTGAAGCTCAATCTAGACCTTTCCTGTCTTCCTTCAGCCATGATCCAAGACCTGGCAACTGTCACCAGGGCCACAGGCTGAGGAAAAGAGGAGGATGGCAGAGGGGTGTGCTTGGAGAGCAGACGACTGGGTGCAGGTGCACAGATGGATTACTGAAAATGGCCCAGGAGTTCCCCCTTCAGTGTCACCAGGGCCTTTTACAATCCTCAGTTTCACACAGCTGTTGTAGGACCAGAACTCTACACCTGTTGCTACACCAGTGTGTTGAACTTGCAGAGATGTGAAGGTTATCTGATTAGCCAGGGCAGGAGGCAGAGAGTGTCAGGTGGGTGGCAGTAATCCTGACAGAAAGGAAAGAGAAGTAACTGACTTTGACCTCATTCCTCATTTTCCTTAGACCATTGGTTCTCAAGTCAGTGACAAATGGCAATGTCTGGAGACATCTTTGGTGGCCACAACTGGGGATGCGGGATGCTCCTAGCATCTAGTAGGTAGAGATCAGATGTGCTCCAAAACATCTTACAATGCATGGGACTCCCTCCCCACAAAGAATCATCCAGCTCTACATGTCAATAGTGCAAAAGTTGAGAAATCCGACAGGAAACCCATTGTCTAGTTTTCAGTTAGACACCAGAGTTCTTGGCAGGCATTTTGGGGGTAGACAACGTACTCTCCTCCTATCCCTGAAGCCTCTAATCACCTAAAATATGTGCCCCTAGCCAGTGGCTATTCAAGAAATATTTGCCACCAAATAGCATCATCGGTCTTCAAGGCCACTTGAAGGACCTTTATTCCAAAGTTCAGTTTGTCTCATTTTCCAGTTATTCATTATTTCTGAATTTGAACCAGCTGAATGTAGCCCTGGTTCCAAATAAAACAGAACACAGCAGGCAGGGAGGGTGAGCTGACAGAAGGAGGTTGTGATAAACAGCACCCCACTTCCTGATGGTGCCCAAGATGGAAACCAAGGCTAGTTGGACAGAGAAGTGAAGAACCGAAGGCAGGGGTCACAGGAAACAGATGAAATACATGGTTGAGAGTACCCCATGGACTCCCCATGGCCACTCCCTTCTTAGAAGTAAGAGGTGAAAGGGGAGCTCTAGGGACTCGGGGTGTACTTCATCCACTTCGGTTAACTCCAAGGTAGAGATGCCACAGGTGGGGACGGTGAAGCACTGCAGAGCGATGTGGTGTCACCTCAGCAGAACTAGCGAAGCCTGAATGTGGTTCCAGCCACATTCTGCTACTCACAGGCATGTGACAACATGCTATTCAAGTAAGCGCTTTGAACTTTAGTTTATGGGGTTTTTTTGGTATTTGTTTTATTTTAATATATTTTATTGATTATGCTATTACAGTTGTCCCATGTTCCCCCTTCACTCCCCTCCACCCTGTACACTCTCTCCCACCCATATCCCCGCCTTTAGTCATGTCCATGTGCCATCCTTATAAGTTCTTTAGCTTCTACATTTCCCATACTATTCTTACCCTCCCCCTATCTATTTTCAACCTACATTCTATGCTACTTATTCTTTGTACCTTTTCCCCCTCTCTCCTTCTCCCACTACCCTGTTGCTAACCCTCCATGTGATCTCCATTTCTGTGGTTCTGTTCCTGTTCTAGTTGTTTACTTAGTTTCTTTTGGTTTTGCTTTAGGTGTGGTTGTTAATAATTGTGAGTTTGCTGTCCTTTTACTATACATGTTTTTTCTTTATCTTCTTTTCTTAGATAAGTCCCTTTAGCATTTCATAAAATAAGGGCTTGGTGATGATGAACTCCTTTAACTTGACCTTATCTGAGAAGCACTTTATCTGCCCTTCCATTCTAAATGAGAGCTTTGCTGGATAGAGCAATCTGGGATGTAGGTCCTTGTCTTTCATGACTTGGAATATTTCTTTCCAGCCCCTTCTTTCCTGTAAGGTCTCTTTGGAGAAATCAGCTGACAGTCTGATGGGAACTCCTTTGTAGGTTACTGTTCCCTTATCTCTTGCTGCTTCTAGGATTCTCTCCTTCATTTTTACCTTGGCTAATGTAATTATGAAGTGCCTTGGTGTGTTTCTTCTTGGATCCAATTTCTTTGGGGCTCTCTGAGCTTCCTGGATTTCTTGGAAGTCTATTTCCTTTGCCAGAGTGGGGAAGTTCTCCTTTATTATTTGTTCAAATACGTGCTCAATCTGTTGCTTTTCCTCTTCCCCTTCTGGTACCCCTATAATTCGGATGTTGGAACATTTAAAGATGTCCTGGATGTTCCTAAGCTTCTCCTTGCTTTTTTGAATTCTTATTTCTTCATTCTTTCCTGCTTGGTTATTTTTTTCTTCCTTCTGGTCCACTCTATTGTTTTGAGTCCCAGTTTCCTTCCCTTCACTATTGGTTCTCCGTGCATCTTCCTTCATCTCTTTTATGGTAACCTGCATTTTTTTTCATCTAATTTGCGCCCAAAATCAACCAATTCTGTGAGCTTCCTGATCACCAGTGTTTTGAACTGTGCATCTGATAGATTGGCTATTTCTTGGTCGCTCAAAAGGATGAGTCCTGGGGGACTGATCTGTTCTTCTGTTGGAGACATGTGTGTGTCTCTCTCTCTTTTTTTTTTTTCGGTCTGGTCGCTCCTGTTATGGTAAGGGGTGGAGCCTTAGGTGTTCACCTGGGTTGGGCACCCCAGTCGCTAGATTGTGACATTGTATGTGGGGGTGGGGACAGGGATGGGGGTGAGAGGGACAATGGCGGTAGCTCCATTCTCCTGGGATCTCAGTCCCTTCGCTGGGATCCTGGGTTGCACACTCTGCCCTGGCCCACAATGCCACCTCACTGGGTCCGCCAGCCACCGCTTGCACACTCAGGGTTCACCGCTGCATCCCGGAAGGCTTACATGCTCCTGGTTGCCTTATGCACCCAGTTTTCCCCGATCTCCGCGCACCGCAACCTGCGCCTGCTCCTCCTCTCAGCCCCTTCTACCGGTCTGGATCAACGGGTCTACTTCAACTTCTTGGCTGCCCGACTTCCATTCAGATAAATTCTCTATCAGTTCTGGGTGTTATTCTGGCCCTAAATTGTTGTTGTTCTAATCTTGGTTGTGCATGGAGGTACAGTGCATCCACCTATGCCTCCATCTTGCCGGAAGTCGGGTTTGTTTGTTTTTATAAGTCCACTCTTTCTCTACCCTAATCTCTCTGCACAACAGGATTACAAAACAGCTACATGGCTATGGGGAAGATGAAAGGTTAGGCACTGAAACCATGTTAGGTTGGGTTATTTATGATTTTGTCCTCAGAAGCACTATGGAAAATTGGCAAGATTTGTCTCTTTGTCCTGGGAACTGCAGCCATATCTGACTTACAAGAATTTTGCCCAGTTGTATTAGACCAGGTTCTCCAGAAAAATATAGCCAATTGGATAAAATGTTATTTATAATATATACTACATTTAAGAGCTTCATTTTGAGAAAACTGAAAAGAAAAAAAAAACAGGAATAGGATAAGATAGTCATTTGCCACCACCCAGAATTATACTTGTCCACATTTAGTCACATTTGCTACATGTTGTTTTCTTCCCACAAACCAAGTCCTTTTCCTTCCCCCTCCAGAAGAAACTTCACTCTGACCTTAGTAGCATCATTTCTGTGCATGTTTCTATACATTTACAATAGAGGTGCACATCTGCAGGTAATATAGAGTTATAAAAATTATACATTAATGGTACACTGTTGTGATGGTTGTTCTGCAACTTGAATTCTGTCTTCTAGATGAAACAGAGTCTGCCAAGAGAACAGAAACACTAGGTAAGAAAAGAGAGACTCCTGGGATACAGAGCCCTTCAAATGCAGGGAGAAGCTCCCAGAAAGCTATGTCTTGCTGGGAACATCCTCAGGGATATTTCTGTTTCAGTGATGCCAGAAGATGATGGTTTAATGCAACATCTTTTAAGGTGGGTGGGGCTGGGGCTCTGCCTATTCAGTATTTGGGTGCCTTCAGAAATCTTTCAATTCCCTGACCCTCAGCTTGTACCTTTGTAAAATGGCCATCATGCTATCTCCCTTCTGGGATCCTTGTATGAGAGAAATGTAGTGAGTTTCCAGCACATCACAGAAACACAATCAATGGTAGACACATTTAGGCATCAGAACAGGTCTCAGGGAACCAACTGGGCCTCATCCCTGCTCTCCTCTCACCAGGGACCACTGAAATCATCCTCATTGTCACCTTCACCTCACTCTTCCTCCTTGCAGCCTTCCTCCTCATCTACAAATACACCTGCTGTGGTGAGTTCAGGAGAAAAGTGGGTAAATCTTCTGAGGGAAATGGTGAAACATAATGACCAAGCTAACATCAGAGGGCTAATTTGTTCCCTTCTCTTTTTCCACCCTCAGGGGCAGCTCGTAACAGGGCGACGAAATGGTAGGCCACTCAAGAACCCATCAGCCAACACTTAACTTGGCCTTCACCATTTCCTGGACTACTTACCCTTCTTTGTTACGTCAACCTTTTACATGCCCCAGACCAGCTCCCACAACCACCCCAGGTCTCCTCCCATGTTCTCTCCTCTCACAACCATCCTCCACATCTCACTCAATGTCCTTTCCTTGGATTCTTTCCCCCAACCATTTCCTTCTCTTTGGCTCCAAGACCTACCTTCTAGAGCATAGGGTGACTTGGAAACCTGGGGGTGGGGCATTCAAGCTGGGAATAGGTGGAGAGACTGGGGTGGTGACCTTGCTTTTCTCTCTCTACCTTCCTTAATCTCTAATGCTTCATTCTGTTTCTCTCAGCTCCCACTCTTCTAAGAACCCTGAAGTCGTGACAGGTAATCAACATGGGAAAGAAGGTAGTAGTGTGGGGTCTGTGTTTAAATGTGTTTGAATATGTGATGCATGTACAGGTGTGTGGTGTGTACACACATGAGGGTTGTATGCATGAGTTTGCACATGTAGCATGCGGGTGGGTACATACACGTGTGAACACGTACACACATATGCATCCAGTGTAGGTACAATCTATGTGCTTTTGTGTGTGTCTGTATGTTGTTTGTGCACATGTGTGGTGTGTCGCTATATTATACATGCATGCATTAGTGCACACATGTGTGTTGTGTGAGAGTACATGTGTGTAGCTGTGTGCATGTGTAGACCTGACCCCTCAATCCCGGGCATGAACCAACAACAGAGTCTTCTCTCTCCCAGATGCGTCTACAGCTATTATGAGCTGCTCTCCTGCCCTGGTGAGTTTCCCATCAGCCCCTTGCTCCATCCAGGCTCTCCACTGCTCCCCCTGTAGATGTATCAATGGTTTGGGCTTCTGCTTTACTCTGCCCCAACCCTTCCTGTACATTTCAGGAGAACCCAGTCTGGACTTGTCTATGCTTCTCTGGCCATGGGACTTTCATCCCAAGTCACCTTTGTGAGGACACGTCCCATTCCTTAAATGGGTTGAAGTCCCTCAAAGGATTAATGGGATGGCTTAATGAACTCACAGCCACAGAAAGATGGGGGAAATGCCAGGTGTGCTGTAAACACTCAGTACCTGGAAGCTATCATTATTTTAACTATCTGTGGGACCCCAGGCAAGTGATGTTCCCACTCTGAGTCTCAGTTTCCTCATCTGGACACTGAGGACAATAATCCCACCTTTGGTGAAAACATGGTAAGATCCTGCTTTAAAGCACCTGCTTCACTGTACACCACACAGCAGATCCTGCATCCATCATCAGTGGCAACATTCACAGTAGCCCTTACTTTTTCCCTTTGTAACTCAATTTTTGAAAAATTGTGTCAATCCTGGGCTGAATGGCTCTCAGTTGGTTAGAGAGTCATCCTGTACACCAAAAAGGTTGTAGGTTTGATCCCTAGTTGGGGTGCATATAGGAGGCAACTGATGGATGTTTCTCACATTGATGTTTCCCATTCCCCTTCCTCTCTCTCTAAAAAATCAGTAAATATATCCTTGGGTGAGAATTTAATAAATACATATTAAAAATTGCATGAACACACACATAAAAGTCACCATTGTAACATGTATGATTCAGCGACATTTGCTACATTCAGTGTTGGGCCACGATGCCCATTATCTAGTTCCAGGAATTTTCATCACCCCAAGAGGAAGCCCCACACCCTTTCAGCAGTTGCTCCCCCATTCCCTCCCCCTCCCTCAGTCTTGACAGTAACAAACATGCTTTCTGTCCCTATGGATTTACTGATTCTGGATGTTTCCTACCAACACTCATTTTGGTAGCTGTTTGTATAAATTACCTATTGCTGTGTAACAAGTCTTCCCCAAATGTGGTAGCCTAAAGCAACATTTGTTGTCTCACATGCTTGTAGGTCAGCTCTGGAGTGGCTGACCTGGGTCTCTCACTCCGGGTCTCACAGCGCTGTGATGCAGGTGCTGGCCAGGGCTTGACTAGGAAAGGATTTGCTTCTATGCTCATTCAGGTAGTTGTCAGCAGGACTCAGTTCCTTGCTGGTTGTTGACCAGAGACCATGCTGGTTGTATGAGCCTCTCCAAAGGGCAGTTGATAACATGGCAGATGACTTCATCAGTGTGAGTGAGCTAGGGGACAATAGAGAAGTAGGCATGACAGAAAAAACCGTCCCTCACGGCCTCATCTTGAACACGGCCTCCCTTCTTTTATGGTGTGTTTTTGTGTTTGCTCTATTCCTCTCACAGATGTATGATGCTAGGTCCAGCTAACCCTCGAGAGAGGAGGCAAACTCAATTAAGGACTAGGAGACTCTGGGGAAGTCTCCTGGAAAGCTGTCTACCACACTGTTATTATGAATGCTCCATCCTTACCACAAAATCCTCCTCCCTGGGAGATCTGATCCTCTCCTCCTTGCTCACCCTCAGGATGAAGGATCTCAGGAGTCAAGAGCTGAAGAACTTCATGGAGTGATGTATGCTGAGCTGAATGCCAGAGCCCTGAGTGAGGGCCCTTCCAACCAGATGCAGCAACCTCTAGAAACCTGTGTGTATTCGACCCTTAAGATGTAGCCAGGAAGAGATCTGGATCCGGGAAGAACCTCCAACAAGAGGCTGGACAGTGGGCAGAAGCCCCTTGGAGGATGAGACAAATGGAGATGCCTTTCCTCAAATCTCCAGTTTAGACTTCCTTCTCCTAAAGAAATAAAATTTATATATTTCTAGTAAGATTTATTTTTAGAGGGAAGGGAGGGAGGGAAACATTGATGTGAGAGAGGAACATCAATTGGTTGCCTCTCACGTGCGCCCCAACTGCAGATTGAATCTGCAGCCCAGGGGTATGCCCTGGCTGCTAAATGAACCAGCGACCTTTCGTTTTGTGGAATGGTATCCTACCAACTGAGCCACACCAGCCAGGACTATTTTTTTTTAAGTGAAAAGTATCATTTACATAGAGTAATATGCCAAGAAATGCCTCAGGTTGGGGGTGAGGAGCAGCAGCACTGTTCATGCCAGGAAGACAAATCATGTCATTAGAGTGTTGGGAATGTGAGCCAGGTGCTCTCAGTCCAACCTCTGCGAACAGAAGAAGGCTGGAGACAGACTCAGTCATGTAGGCAATAATTCAATCAACCACACCTGTTGATGACACTCCACTAAAATGCCAGATACGAGGCTAGGGATGCTTCCTGGTTGGTGACCCACCCTCACGTGCCCGGACAGTGGACACATCCTGAGGATATAGGAAGCTTCGCTTTTGGGACCCTCCCAGACTTCATCATGTGTCTCTCTTCAGTTAGCCGGTACTGATTTGTTTCCTTTACAATAAAATTGTAACCCTAAGTATAGCACTTCCTTTGCATTCTTTCAGTGGGTCTAGCAAATTATGATGAGTGGGGATAGTAGGGACCTCCAAAATTCTCAGCTGTTGGTCAGGGTGGCCTGAGGACACCTGAATTTGCAGCTGGTATCTAAAGCAAGGGCAGTCTTGTGGGCAATGCACCCTTAACCTGTGAGGGCTGTGCTAGCTCTGGGTAGTGTGTACCGAAATTACACTGCAGCTCCGAAGTGGATCCTTTCCCTGACTGGCTTTCAGATCAGACCACCGCCTGGCTGACATGGTGACTACAGCCCCTGAGGATCCTGAGAGGTTGTGCCATTTTTTGCTGGCCCTGGAAACTAGGAGAGAATAATGTGTTGCTTAATGCCACTGAGTCTGTGGTGATATTGTAACACAGTAATAGATAACTAACATGCTCACTCAGACCCTCTGTGCACCCTTCCACAGAATGATACCTGAGACAATGCAACATTTCACCACTGGGGGGTGGGGTGAGATAGTGAGGTTTGGAATGATTATCTGGAACAGGAAGTGAATGTGCTTTTGAGACTGAGCTGGGTTCCAATTTTTGCACCTGTCTTACAGGGGTCAGGGAGTTTGTGTGTATAGGGATCAGGGACCATCAAAGGAGAAATCAGGGACTTGGCCTCTGCAGAGTTCAGAGTTTGTACATGGATCAGGGAATAGGTCTATATAGAAATCAGGGGCTTGGTCTTACACAAGGATCATAGAACTGGGTATACTGGGATTAACAACTTAGAAAAGAGGTCAGGGACTTGCTCTTGTAGAGAGAGAGGGTCTTCATCTTGTACACAGATTAGGGACTTGGGCTGTTAGGGATCAGTACTTGGTCTGTACAGAGATCAGAAATTTGCTTTGTTCAGGGATCTGGGACTATGTCTGTATCACAACCATGATATAGAAAACCATACAAGGGTCCTCGAAAAATTAAAAATAGATCACCACAGGATCTAACAATCCAACTTCTGGGTAAAAGAAAATGAAAACAGGATTTCAATGCAATACATATATGCACTCTGCGTTTATCGCAGCATTATTCACAATAATGAAGATGCCCATAAATGGATGAATGGTTAAGATCTCTCCATCTCTCTCTCTCTCTCTCTCTCTCTCTCTCTCTCACACACACACACACACACACACACACACAAATATTCTTTAGCCACCAGAAAGGAGGATATCCTATCATTTGTGACAATTCACATGGACCTTGAGGACATTATGCTAAGCAAGACACACGAGAGAAAGACAAGTTCTGTCTGATCTCACTTACATATGGAACCTAAAAAAAGTCAAACTTGTAAAAAGGGTGGAATGGTGGTTACCAGGGGATGGAAGTGGGAGATAATAACACTGATGTCTCTTAAGGGTATACACTTGTAAGGAGTCATAAACAAGCCATAAGAAACTTAATGCACAGTATAATAAATGTAGACCACAATATTGTACAGTAAGCCCTCACTTAACATCACAGATAGCTTCTGCAACTTGAAGTGACAACACATGAGGAAACCTATTTCACCACAGGCTAATTGATAGAAACAAGACTTGAGTCCCTAGGCATCGTATCACCAGTTACAACCAAACTACAATGAACAAAATGACATCATTCAAGAACCTGCTATATACAACTATGTAACGCGATACTTATCCCTACGACCTGGCAAGCATGCTACAATACACGAATTATGAAAATAATACCTTGTACACCTTAAACTTAACACCTTAAACTCGTGTACACAATGTTACATGTTAAATGTATTTACAGAAAAAGACTACAGGATGTGAATGAGCATGTTACAGATGCCGTTTTAAGTCGTTAAAAATATTAAATTGGTTACACCAAGAGCCAGTTCTGTAAAGAAAAAGAATCCGTGGTATATTTAGGATACTCTTTAGCGGGGCCACAGCGGATGGAGACCAACAGGACCTTTAAACAAACCTAATCAGTGGGGTCTATGGGAGGAGCTAGGGTCTGTGGAAGTTCTTGCACTCCATGCAATCACAATCGGAAGAACTCTACAGGAAGAATTCTGTTAATAATAAAGCTCTGTGTTTCACGGGCCCCCTCCCTTAACTTCCTTTCCCTTCTGTAAACACTCCGCCATCTTGGCAGGCAGGCTGTGCACTGGGGTGCGACCCTTTCTTCTTACAGAACAAATCATTTTAGGTGATGAAACACCTAGTCGATTTCATTATTCAGTGGACGCGCCCAAAGCACCTCAAATCAAAGAACCCCGGACCTCCCAGCGAGGTAGAGGCGTTGAAGGAGCGGAAACGGGTCCTGAGGTTGCTCCAGCACTGCCCGCCCCACCGCGAACCCACCAGAGGCGCCGGCACCACGACGCTGACGGTGTTTCACGTGGCTTACTCCTCTGGGGGATACCCGCTCAGCGGGCCACGGCGGCGGTGCTCACCGGTTGGGGGCGCTGTGCTTCCTTATCAGGACGCAAGCGAACCACGCGGGGTAGGGCAGTAAGGTCCCCGGACCCACAGAACCCCGACCCGACTCTCAGGCCTCTCCCAGAACAAACACTGAGGCGGGTGACGCACAGAGGAGCCCACGGAAGACCCAGGAGACAAAGGAGGCGCGCACGCTCCGGACCGACGTGCTGCACATGCGCGAGGTGAAAGGCTGCGTACGAGGTGAGCCGCGTGTGGAACGTGGATGGTGGATGGGGGCGGCGTGCCTTGCGGAGCGGCGTGCGTGGGAGGCCGCAGGCGGGTGGGGCGTGCGAAGCAGCCGCGTATTTTGGGATTGGCTTGCGTGAGGAGCACGTGGCGTTCGGGAGAGGGAGCTTGCTTAGCGGGACCGTAAATTGATGACCTTGGCTGGCCCCGGATTATGCTGCGTCTTACATTCGCTGCCCAGATGGGGCCAAAGTCCACTGACCATCTAGGTCCATGTTTTCCTGCCCGTTAAATCCCCCTGACCCTCCCTGGCACACACTCCAGTATCTTCTTGCCCAGCTCTGTGCAAAAAGAAAAAACCCCCACTCACCCTCAACTAGGGCCTGCCGCTGGGTCTTGGAGACCCCGTCATCATCCCCTTTGGTACTTAAAAGGGTTGGGGAATACTCCCATTTTTTCCCAGAAGATTTTATTTACTTATTTTTAGACAGAAGGGAAGGGAGGGGAAAGAGGGAGAGAAACATTGATGTGTGGTTGTCTCTCACGCGCCCCCTACTGGGGACCTGGCCTGCAACCCAGGCATGTGTCCTGACTGGGAGTCCAACTGGCAAACCTTTGATTCTCAGGCTGGTGCTCAATCCACTGAGCCACACCAGCCAGGGCAGAAACACTCCCATTTTACAGAATTTGAGAGCAATGCCTGCTTTACGTCAAATCCTGTCCGTATTACTTATTGAGTGCCTACTGTGTGCAGAACACCTTTCTAGGCTTGGTGGAGGGTAGATGAGCTCAGGCCTCAGCCCTCATCCTCACTTTAGCTTCAGTAGAAAGATGAACATGTGAGGTAGGATGGAATGAACAGAAATTAGAACCATGAGTGAGCCCTCTTGGAGGTCAGGAAAGGGCCAGAGGTCTGAAACTTCCTGGAAGATGCTGCGTTTGACTCAGGACTTGGAACATGGAATGCTCTGTATTAAGAGGAAATTGCAAAAATCAAAGGATGAAGGTGGCAGGGACTGGAAAGGAGTTTGATATGGTGATAGGTACAGGTTTATGTAGGAGTGTGGTGAGCAGGGCCTCGGTGGGAAGTGGATACAAGGATCCTTTGACCTCTCTCTCTTTTTAAAAGATTTTATTTATTTTTAGAGAGAGGGGAAGGGAAGGAGAAAGAGAGGGAGAGAAACATCAATGTGGTTGCCTCTCACGCGCCCCCTACTGGGGACCTAGCCCACAGTGCAGGCATGTGCCCTGACTGGAAATTGAACCAGGGACCCTTTGCTTCACAGTCCAGTGCTCAATCCACTGAGCCACACCAGCCAGAGCTGGCCTCACTTTCAGGAAGTAAATGAGCCAAGCTGTCACCAGGTTGTCCCACTACATTAATAATCTTTCAACTATATTAACTTCCTTGTGTTCTCTCCAACACATCCCCTGACAAAAGCAGGTGGAATCATCAGGGAAAGACAAATTCCAAGGATTTTGGAATTTAAAATCCTTGGTGCTTAGGAACCAGGTAAGAAACCCAAGGACCACAACTGAGATGTCTGTTTGCACCAGAAAGATCCAAAGTGGTGCCTTACACCCCTTCCCAAGCAACCTTTTCAGGAACTTTTCTTCATTAGCATACTAAAAGTTATACCCAGGAGTGGAGAGTTAACATTATAATGAGACATGTGATGTATGGCTAAGCATGTCCCAAGCATGTTTTGGAACTGCATGTGCTTTCTTGGAAATCTGAAAATACCCTTCCTTGAAAATTTCAGCCCCTGAACCTCCCTAACTATCCCCTCCCAAAAGCATTTAAGACTTTCCTAATTCCCCAGAGTTGGGGAGAAGGGATCTTTAGAGCACAAACTTGTACTTCTCTATTCTTTGATCAAAGAATAAAATTTCTGATCTGTTTTACCCAATACAGTTTATTGCTGTGAGTGGTATTGAGCAGAATGACCACAATTTCCAGTCCCTGACTAGCATGGGTTGGGGACAAAGTTACACCATTTGAATAAAGATAGAGTTGGACAGAAATAAACTGATCCAAGTGATATGGAGAAAGTGTGTGCTTTCCAACACACTTCTGTTACCAGTCAGGACTAATCCATTGTAATTTCAAATCTTAGTAAAACTCAGAACTCACTTTCCACTGGTGATTTGTTGGAAACATAACTCCTGAAAAAAAATGCACTTAAATAAAAGTCAATTGCAGGACAGGTTTAAATTGAATCAGAGGGCAATGAGCCTGTATGAGCTTCAAACGAGTTCTGTTATAGCTGTGGAGTGGCCTACAGTTGGAGTTTTTCTCCACTTAATCTGTCTTCTCTACAAATCAGTCCATCCAATCATACTAGTCCAGTCTGGGGGACTTGATCCATTTTGTCTCTCGGAAAATGTTTGACAATGTACTCCTGGCCTCCTGCTCAGCTGTTAGTTGCCTCTGCTGAGGTATTGTGTGTCTGAAGAGCTGGCATCTAGTTTGAGATGAAATGTTAGGAGTTTTAGTCCTGGCTATTGTGGCTCAGTGGATTGAGCACTGGCCTGTAAACCAAAGGGTGGCTGGTTCGATTCCCAGTTAGGACACATGCCTGGGTTGCGAGGCGGGTCCCCAGTAGGGGGTGCACAAGAGGCAACCACACATTGATGTTTCTCTCCTTCTCTTTCTCCCTGTCTTCCCCTCTGTCTAAAAATAAAGAAATAAAATCTTAAAAAAAAATACAGCAGAAGTTGAGCTACCATCCCAGAGGAGCTGCCTTCCAGAGGAACTGTCTTGCACGCATCAAATGCTGGAATGTTAAAAACCTTTGGACTGGGCCTAAGCAACTGTTTGTTCCAAGGTTTGCAAAGACAATAAGACAGCAGAAACTCTGGCCAGGTGGCTCAGTTGGTTAGAGCACCATCCTGATACACCAAGGTTGCGGGTTCTATCCCCACTCAGGGCACATACAAGACTCAACCAATAAGTGTATGAAAAAATAGAACAACAAAATTATGTTTTTCTGTTTCTCGCTCTCTCTCCAGTAAATAAATAAATAAATAAATATATTTTTAATTAAGAAAACAATAAACAGACACTATGACTACTGGGTTGAATACTTTCAGACTGGAAATTTAAAATGTTTAGAATTACAGTTATTATGTTAGCTTATCTGCACCTGTGGAAATACCTTCCTATTTTTTAAACTTCTGTGTGCTTAGGAAATGCCTAAGAAAATTTAGAAATTTTTTTATTTTTGAGACTCAGTAAATAAGAGAACTTTATTCACCTTCACAACTAATCAAAGCAATGCAACTTGAATAATCAATGAAATACTATGTTTGCCTTTCAAACGGGCAAGTTGTGGGCCAAAAGAAGATCTCATATATTGCTGTTTGGAGTACAAATTGACACTGCCTTTCTGAAATATACCAGCAATATTTATCAGAAAATTTCAGGAGTCTTATAATCAAATAATTCCGTTCAAATTTAGTCTACCTGTGTGCTCAAAACATACATGCAAGGATGTCTACTTTGCAAATTTATATAATAGCCCAAAACTGGAATTAAATGTTCCCACAATATATTAAATCAATTATGACATCATGCAATAAACTATTACATACTTATAAAATAAAATGATATTTTTCACATGGAAAAAAAAGAAATGCCTTTCTTCTATTGATGTAATTGGTCCTCTTCCCTTTCTTGTAAATACCTATTACCTTTGTCTCCAAGCTACAACACTCTTTGAGCTTCTGTCTGAATCATTGCTTCCCAGATAGATAAATAGCTCTTCTTATTGAACTCAAATAAATGCTTATTGCCTCTCACTTTGAAAGGTCCCTTTATTTTTAGGTTAACACTTCAAAAGCAATGAGTAGCTGGGGAGGAAAGATGAATAAAAGTTGTACTTCTAGGGAAGAACTACTTTCTTAATTCATCAATGTTTCCTCCTTGGTGCCTTAGGAAATGGGATTATGCTTTTCCCACTGGAGAAAAAAAATTGAATGGAAGCTTTTCAATGTCCTTTGATTACTTTCTCTTCTGTAGGAAGGTAGCACAGTAAAAATCTGATTGTTGTGTGACCGACCCATTTGTCATGGTTTCCTGGGGACAAGTTTACTCAGTCTTAGTGGCAGACACATTCATTTCTGTTTGTTGTTGCTGTTGTTGTTCTGTTGACCTACCTGCTCTCAGGGGCTGTGAGTGTCCAGCTTATACAGAGATCCCAGCATTTTAGATGTTATTATGTTCTTGCCCAGCCTCTGTATTATGTCAGTACCAATTTCTGGTTTTGATCATGTACTATAGTTACATTACTACGGGAGCAGCTAACTTGGTGGGGATGTGGGAACTCTGTATACTATTTTTTGTGACTCTATAAATATCCTCCCCCCCAAAATTTTTAATGACTTGGCCATAGCTGCATAGCTCAGTTGGTTAGAGCATCGTCCCCATGAGCAAAGCTGTAGGTTTGATCCTTGGTGGGGGCACATATAAAAATTAACCAATGAATGCATAAATATGTGGAACAGCAAATCGATGTTTCTCTCTCCCTGTCTCCCTGTCTCCCTCCCTCTCCCTTGCTCTCTTCCCCCATCTCTCTAAAAATCAATGAATAAAAATAAAAAGAGAAAGGACATGTCTTGGGCACAAATTCAGATGAGATGAGGTCTTGGGTGGGTGGAGCCATAGCCACACACACTGGATTATGGGGAAGATGTTGTCATTGATGGCTTCTGGTTTCCTGAGTTGATTGCAAGAAGGAAACTGTGTGCCAGGTGGTGTGGAGAACCAGAGTGTCAGAGTGAAACGTCTCCCCACACATCCTGGGGACAAAGTGGGCAGTTGGAGAGCTTCCATCACCCCAGTCCTCCTTCTTTAACTGTAAAACTGAAGACGAGATCTTTGTCTGGGTGGAAGTGACACAATGATCACCGGATTCCTGTCCTTGCTTTGCCTCGGTGAGTCTCCAGGACTGGGAGGGATGGGCTTGGATAGATGAGAAAATTCACGGTGGAGTGGGGGCTATTGTGGGAAACATGGCAAGTACAGAAACAATAACATCTGTGTATTGGATACATGGCCCCTGTCAGAATTTTATGGGCTCTGATATGCTCATGTCTTCATTCTGATGTTCACACAAAAAGATGAGGAACCTAAGGTTCAGAGCCTGTGGTAACATCCGCAGTTTACTCAGCTGAGACATTCAGAGCTCAGATGGGATCTTCAAATCTATCCTCCAAACACCACAGTCTTGGCATGAATGTTGCATTGGCGTATAGGAGGGCAGGGTCTACAGAGTGTGAAAGGCTATGGGTTTGGGTACAAACCAGGAATACCAAGAAGAACAATGACTGGGGATGGCAGCTAAGAAGAAAATTTTCTGACCAGCCCTATCCTCAGCCTCATTTTAACTGTCTTCAACTCAAACATAATGCAATCAAGCAGCCCTCAGCCAGTTAAACAAAACAAAACAAAATAAAACAAAACACCTGAATTATAATCTTGGGTTGGGCTCACAGGAGCTCTCTCGACTTTGAACCAACAGCTCCACCTCCCTCAGCCCGCAGCTCCTCCTCTGTGAGTGGGGTGTGTGGAGGGGATATCAGGACTTATCTGCTTCAGTTCCTTCCTCCTTTGGGCACAGCTGTTCCCTTTGGGGTAATGCTCCTCCCACACATACACTTGAACTTTAGGCTATTGTGAACATACCTGTGACCTCCAGCTGCAGGGCAGACAACTAGGAGCAGTCACAGACTGACCTCAGTCTCCCATATGCATTTCCTGCCCCACAAACTCTTTCCATTTGATTGAGGAAGAACCCCCCCTCCCAACACTCTACAGTAAAATAACTATTTATCATGGAAGTGGTAAGGATAAATATGGCAATCCAAGAAAATATGAGAGAAAAATGGAGGTGAATGTTCAACTTATAGACAGCAAAAGGATTGACTAATCTTAAAAGCTTAGTTACATTTACCAACACAATAAATCAGGAAGGGTTGTGGAAGGCTCTCCATTAACATAACTTCTGAAGGACAAACAATGGGACAAAAGTAAAAGGTAAAGAATAAACCCAGGGAAATACCTGCATGGAACACAGCAGATCTTGAACAAATTGGTCATGCGTTCTCTGCCTCATTGCTACTAAAAGACAAGCACATCACTTATCTGTCATGAGACTTTCTCTTCCAGGGCTCTGTCTGGGCTTTGAAGGTGAACACAAGAATGGTGAGTTGTCTTCCACATAAACTGTGTTTTGTCACCCCAAGTTTTGTGACTTTTTAAAAAAAATTATTTTCAATTACAGTTGACATATAATATTACATTAGTTTTAAGCGTACAATATAGTCATTAAATATCTATTTACCTTACTTACAAATTGATCCCCCAATGAATCCAGTACCCACCTGGAACCATACATAGTTATTACAATATTAGTGACTATATTCCCTGTGCATACTTTACATCCCTGTGGCTTTTTTATAGCTGCCAATTTGTATTTCATAATCTTTTCACCCCCTCCTCTGACAGCTTTCAGTCTGTTTGCTGTATCTCCAAGTTTGTTTCTGTTTTGTTTGTTCATTTATTTTGTTTTTAGATTCCACATATAAGTGAAATCACATAGTATTTGTCTTTCCTTGCCTCACATAATTTCACTTAGCATAATAACCTCTAGATCCATCCACATTGCTGCAAATGGCAAGACTTCATTTTTTTTTAATGGCTGAGTCATATGACCTTTTACCTTTAATTCTCTGAATTCTAGGAGAGTGTTTGTGGACATTAAGATAAAGGGTCAAGTAAAGGATATGATCACCTAACCACATGCTGTACACCTGAAACTAATATAAAATATTGAATGTAAACTGCAATTGGAAAATAAAATTTTAGCCCTAGTCAGGTAGCTTAGTTAGTTGGAGCATCGTCCAGTACACCAAGGTTACAGGTTTGATTCCTGGTCAGAGCACATGCCTAGGTTGCAGGTTTGATCCCCACTTGGGGTACAAACAGGAGGCAACCGATTGATGTTTCTCCCTCATATTGACCTTCCTCTCTCTCTCTCTCTCTCTCTCTCTCTCTCTCTCTCTCACCCCCCCCCCTTCCTTTCTCTGTAAAATCAATAAACATATTCTCAGGTTAGGATTAAAAAGAAAAGAAAAGAAAAATGTTTAAGAAAAGGTAAAGAGTCCAACTAATTCTGAATTCTTTCCAGAGAAACTTCCCAAACCCTCCCTTAATGCCTTGCCGGGACCGGTGGTTAAGCACAGTGCTAATGTGACCCTGAAGTGCCACTGTCACTTCCAGAATGTGACGGTCATGCTGGGGAAGTTGCAGGACCCTGGGTACAAGCAGGAGCAGAGCTCAGCAGGATATGATGCTCAATTCCTCCTTGTGGACCTGGAGCCTAAAACTGCTGGCATATACTTTTGTGCCTATAAGACAATGGGCTCCCACGAGTGGTCCGAGAAGAGTGAACCCCTGCAGCTTGTGGTCACAGGTAAGCAGGTTTCCTCCTTGGTGCACATATTCCTTGTCCTGTGATAGGACCTGGCAGAGAAAAAAGGAATGCAGGAAACAAAAAGACAGATGTGACACATCCAGTGTAGGGAAATGGAGACATGAGAACAAGACTCTCATCAGGGCTTCTGAGAGGGTCTCAATAATGTGGATGGGTGACAGTGTTTTAGAATAGAGGTATTGATAGAAAATTTGAGGGGCAGCAAGGCCATAGGATCAAGAGACAGCTGTCACTGAAGAGATAGTTTGGTAGTTTCTGAGAGGTGGGGTCACACTGTGTCATGTAGAGCCACATGGGGAAGCACCAGGGCCAGGAAGCAGCCAGAGGGAATGAGCCTTTATACTTGTTTCTGTGAGAATCAACAGGCTTAGGATTGGGGCACAGAGGCTGCCCAGGTTATCTGGGACCTGACCCTGGGGTGATGAGGGCAGGGAAATAATGGCCCTGAGTGTGAGAAACCAATGAAGGAGGTCATTGGAAGTGTGGGCTCCAGATTGGTTGGTTTGCATTTGAGAGGTGTGCTCCAGAGAGAGACGTTGCCTGTCTCTAGGAATTGCTAACCCTGAGAGGGGAATCCCTCTGAAGTCATCAAGGTTCTCAAATGTTAAAGCATCTGATGTAGAAAATAAAGCCATGGTTAATACAGAGAGATGGGTGAGCGTGTCCTCAGTACAAGGATAAATGGGAAGCCCTGGTCCTTCCCTTCATCCAGACTGCCTTGTTCTATTCAGGATCACTCCTAAAACCTCCCCTGTCAGTCAGTGCAAAGTGGGGATGACTCCAGGTCACAGTATGACACTCTGATGTCTGGTTCCATACAAGAGAACTGAGTGTATCATTATTGCTCTGCTGAAAATGGGAATCCAGAACCATTACAAACTGAGAAAGTAATACAAAACCTAACTGAGCATCATGGTGGCATAAAAAGTCCTTTGTTTTTGTTCCTCCCTTCAACAACAAAAATTCAGCATCCATCTACAAACAAAAGTGTCTTTGTGGGAATCATGAGATCCAGCACCATATGCCAAGGGACCTGGGAGGAGTCTCACCTACCTGTGCATCAGGTCATAGGCAGACGGACCTCAGTACCAGCTGTGGAACCTGCAGGAGACAGTGTGCTGGTTCCAGCCCCTCTTGGCTGTGGTCTGGAAGTACCTGATGGACTTGGACAACACCTATCAGTGAGAAAGCCTTTGTGTGAGTCTACAAACCAAGACTGAGTCATGAATAAACAGAAAATCTGAACAGAAAGTAATGGGTGAAAAGAATGAATCAGTAAGGAAAAGAAAAACACAAAACCTCCCTCCCAACCACCACCACAACAAAAAAGCCTAAGATCACATGTTTTCACCGGTGAATTCCACCAAACATTTAAAGAAGAAACAATGCCAATCTTACTCAAACTTTTTGAACAAAAACTGAAAAGGAGGAAACACTACCACACTCATTTTACCCTGATAATAAAGCTGGATGAGGACACTACAAGGAAAAGTAAACTACAGATCAATATCTCCAATGACTATAGATGCAAGAATTCTCAACACAATGTTAGCAACTGAATTCACCAGCACATTAAAAGGATCATACACCATGATCAAGTGGAATTTATCCCTGAGATTCAAGGATGGGTCGACATACGTAAAACAATAACTGTGATAACCATGTTTGTAAGATAAAGAAGAAAAATCATATCATTTCAACAGATGCAGACAAAGCATTGAACAAAATACATCTCTTTGAGGTAAAAACTCTCAACAAAGTGGGTGTAGAGGGGACATGCCTCAATAGCAGAAAGACCCTATACAACAAGCTAACAGCTAACATCATAATGATAAAAGGTTGAAATCTTTTCCTCTTAGATCAGGTGCCCAGTCTCACCATTCCTATTCAACATGGTACTAGAAATGCTAGCCAGAGCAATCAGGCAAGTCAAAGAAATAAAAGGAACCCGAACTGGAAAGGAACAAGTTAAATAGTTGCCCAAAGTGGGTAATGTTATAAATATTTTAAAGAAGTAAACTAATAGTTAGCCATTGAATTAAGTGATTTCTCCAAGGGCCACTATTATAATTCAGATTTATTGCCTTTTATAATATATTTAAATCCTAGGATGGTACTTCTTCATAATTTCCTTTATTTTCTACATCTACTGTGTTACCTTTGCATCTTAATACTTTTCAGTACAATTTTCTTTAGTCTTGGAAGTCATCTCAGTTATAAGTATATAATCTATGAAGCCTATTGCTGATTACAAATTACAACAAAAGCAGATTTGTCTTTACTTAGTAATGATATGCTCTTATATATAGAAAATCCTAAAGACTCAAGCAAAAACTGTTCAAACTAATCATCAAATTCAGCAAAATTGGTAGATATAAAATTGGCATACAGAAATCAGTTTCATTCCTATACACTAACTACAAAATATCTGAAAAAGAATTAAAGAAAACAATCCCAGTCACAATAGCATGAAAAACAATAAGATACTTAGAAATAAATTTAACCAAGGAGGTGAAATATCTCTACACTGAAAACTACAAGAATTATGAAAGACATTGAAGACACAAAGAAATGGAAAGCTATCCCATGCTCATGAATCAGAAGAATTAATATTGTTAAAATGTCTATATTACCCAAGTCATCTATAGATTCAGTGCAATCTCTATCAGAATGCCAATGATATTTTTCACAGAAATAAAACAAACAATCCTAAAATGTGTATGAAACAGATAGAACACCCTGAATAGCCAAAGCATCCTGAGAAAGAAGAACAAAATTGGAGGTATCATACTTCATGATCTTAAATTATACTACAAGGCTGTAGTAATCAAACCAGCATGGTAATAGCATAAAAACAGACATATAGATCAATGGAACAGAATAGAGAACCCAGAAATAAACCCTTGCATGTACAATCAGCTAATATCAGAGAAGGGTGCCATAAATGCTCAATGGAAAAAGGATAGTCCCTTCAACAAATGGTGTTAGGAAAACTGGATAACCACATACAGAAAAATGAATTTGGTCCCCTATCTTACACCAGTCACAAAAATGAACTCTAAATGGATTAAAAATTTAAACATAAGACTTCCAAACCATAAAACTCCTAGAAGAAAACATAGGGGAAAATCCCTTTGACATTGATCTTGGTAACAATGTTTTAGATATAACATTAAAGCACAAGAAACAAAAAAATAAGCAGGACTACATCAAACTAAAAAGCATGCACACAGCAAAGGAAACCATCAACAAAATGAAAGAGCAACCTACCAAATGGGAAAAAAAAATATTTGCAAAATGATAGTGTTCCTGGGTGAAAGAGGTGAAGGGACTAAGAAGCAATATGGATATATTTTTAGAGAGAGGGGAAAGGAGGGAGAAAGAGAGGGAGAGAAACATCGATCAGTTGCCTCTCCCAATACTGCCAACCAGGAACCTGGCCCACAACCCAGGCATTTGCCCTGGCTGGGAATCAAGCCAGTGAAATTTTTGGTTTGCAGTACGATGTCCAACCCACTGAGCCACAGCAGTCAGGACTGACTACTTATCTTGCATCCTGTTTTCTAGATACCCGTGATGGATCTGGAGCTTCCTCAGTAAAAACAGGTAAGATAATTAGAGAAGAGATGTTTTAACCAATTGTATCCACCTTGAGGCAGGGGATCCCTTTGGATTAAAAGGCACGGGAAGAATCTTAATGCCCACTTTCTCAATGCCTTGGGAGGAACCACTGCCTTTTGGGGGAGATGGCCTCTAAGCCACTCCTGTAAATCCTGGTGGGTAAAAACATCCTGAGGTGCATTGTCTGACATCTTGCATAACGAAAAACTATGTTAGAGTTATGTGAAGCATGGGGGTGAGTTTGTGTGACCGGCTTGGGGAAGGGGACTGGGACCCGTAGCATTCAGGTTACTTTGGGGATATGTGTGATCAAGGACTTGGTAAAGCTTCAAAGTTCTCAAAAATAGGTGACTATCAAATTCTTTTACTCTGATGTTGCTTTTCCATGAAGAGTTGACTAAGGCTCTGTCCTCAGAGATTCTTCTAAAAATTTAGGGCTTTTGATAGCTTTAGACTGAAACAGGAACTCAACCAAACTTTAACAACATCTAGATGCTTACTTATTCTTTCTTTCAGCAACTCATAGCCTCCCTGCCATGGACTCCAAGGAGCCAAGATTGTTAAGGGTTGTCACTGGAGCCCTGGATGGTGTAGCTCAGTGAATTGAGCACAGGCATGGGAACCAAAGGGTCACTGGTTCGATTCCCAGTCAGGGTACATGCCTGGGTTGCAGGCCAGGTCCCCAGCAGGGGGCACACAAGAGACAACCACACATTGATGTTTCTCTCTTTCTCCTTCCCTTCCCCTCTAAAAATAAATTTTAAAAATCTTTTTTAAAATGTTGTCACTAAAGTCTATGCTGGTATAATTTGTTTTTTTCAATGAATGTTTTATTGATTGATTTTTTTTTAAAGAGAAATAAAGAGAGAAACATCAACCTGATGCCCCACCCATTTGCATTCCATTTGCAACCATTATACATTCAATGGCTGGTTCTTGCATGTGCCCCGAGCAGGGATCAAACCCACAACCCGGCACATGGGGACAATGCTCTAACCAACTGAGCTATCTGGCCAGGGCTAATTCATTTTTTCATAGAAGATATCCTCTGAGGTGTCTTTGCAAAATAAGTATTAACCTTTGAAAATGTTCTTTTTCCGTATCAGCTGGTTTGGGACATGGTTGCTACTCCAGCTGTAGGAACATAATCGCCAGGAATGTTTCCTTGGACAGATCTGAAATCTGATAGAATGGAGGAGCATGGAAGTATCAGAGATGAGGTGGGAAGTCCCGCAATGTGTGAGAGGGAAGAGGTAGAAAAGCTTTTATATTTTTAGCTCATGTGGAACTTATTTTCTTTCATTTCTATTGATATATAATCCACATTCCATAACTGCACCCTTTTAAAGTGTACAGTTTGCAAGGCTGTGCAACCTTTGCCACTAATACAACTCCCAAAATGAAATCTTGTACCCACTAAGCAGTCAGTCCTCATTATCCTCTCCCACCAGGCTCTGCAAACCATGGATGTGCTTATTCTGGATATTTCCTATCAGTGGAATCACACGACCTGTGGTCTTTTGTGTCTGGCTCCTTTCACTCAGCATCCTGTTTTCAAGGTTCACCCATGTTGTAGCAGGTGTCAGGGCTTTGTTCCTTTTCATGGCTGAATAATATTCCATTGTGTGGATAGACCATCTCTTATTTCTCCGTTCATTCACTGATGGACATTTGGGTTGTTAGTACTTTCTGGCTACTCTGAAGAATGCTCCTGTGAACAGGGATGTATAAGTGACTGAGTTCTTGCTTTCAACCGGGTTCTACCTACAAGTAGACTTGCTGGGACATATGGTAACTCTATGTTTAACTTTTTGAGGACCTGCCAGACAGTTTTCCAATGTGGCTGCATGATTTTACCTTCCCACCAGCCATATATGTGGGTTCCAATATCTCCACATCCTTGCCAACTCTTGTTAATTTCCTTTCATTTTATTATAGCCATCCAAGTGGGTGTGCATATCATTTCTTAAAATGTACTTTCTGAGTTCACACTGATGCCACCACAATTCTAAACAGAATAACGAATCTTTAAGCACAGATAAGGTGTCTGCACCCTGTATGTGCATGCCCCAAACTGCCCGGAAGGGACCCTACCCTCCCGTTCTGTGTAGACCAATAGTGAATTTTACCACCTAACTTTGACTCAAGGGCAGGCTTGCTTTCTGATGCCTGTGTTAAGCTGTATCCCATTGCCTAGGGAGACTCCTTCAGATGAATATCATATATTCTCTGTAATTTATTTTGGCTACTTGCGAACAGGCATGTGAAATTTTACAAGGATATGTAAACATCTCAGGGTGAACCCAGTTCATCAGGTTATGGGGCCACAGGAAGAGAATTTTGCAAGAACTTACTTCTCATTTCCAGTGAATCGCTATGTGAGGAAAAGCTGTAGGCTGGACAGAGAGAGAAGTAAATGCTTAAAGCAGGACTGATGTTTCTCTGCTTCCATCAAGGGTCCGGGAACAACTGTTCCTGCCCTGTGTTCATATGTCCATGCAGATGCCTTGATAGAATTGTTGCTTCTGAGGGTCTCTTGGATCCGATGCCACCAGAAGCAGACTCTCAAATATTAGTGAAAAAATGACATTGTAGGGGAGTGGGGAAGAAGGACTTCAAGGAAAAGAGACTAAAAAACAGTGGAATATTCCAGGCTCTCCACTCAATCCTGTGGGGAAGCACAGGTGACAGAAAAGTGGACAAATACGGGAGGCCAGGGAGCTAGGGCATTCACATCTCCACAAATAACAGTCATGGTAAAGGGGTGACCCTGAGGCCCATAAATTCCAAGGCACTTGGGATCCTTCCAGATACAAGGTCTCACATAGGAAAGAGGAAGAAGGCAGGATCGAGAGTGCATAGAAATGGCAACAATTTTGCCCTGGCTGGTGTGGCTCGGTGGACTGAGTGCCAGCCTGTGAACCAAAGGCTTGCCAGGTTGATTCCCAGTCAGGGCACATGCCTGGGTTGTGGGCCAGGTCCCCAGTAGGGGGCACGTGAAAGGCAATCACACATCGATGTTTCCCTCCCTTTCTTTCTTTCTCCCTTCCCCTGTCTCTAAAAATAAATAAATAAATACTTTTTTTTAAATGGCTAAGGTCTGGGGGAACCTGGGTGTGGGAGCACTTGCAGCACCTGGTACAGAGGGACCTGGGTATGGGTGGGATGCTAGGTGAGAAAGCCACCATTCTCATGGCTTCATTATCCTGCACAGTGAGGCAGATTCTACAATGGGGGCTCAAGCCATTACCTCACTTTTCATGTTATGTTATGTTATCTTCAGCTTCACTGAGCTATAACTGCTGGGTAAAACGGGGAGATATTTAATATGATGATCGGATATAAGTATACATCTTGGAAGGCTTCCCCCCACTGAGTTAATGAACACATCCCTCACCTCATACTTACCTCTTCCCTTTTTCTTTAATGAGAATGTTTAAGACCTACTGTCTTAGCAAATTTTTAAACTTTTTAAACCCTCACCCAAGGGTACACTTATTGATTTTAGAGAGAGAGGAAGGCAGTGGGGTTGGGGGAGAGACATCAATGGAGAGAGAAACATTGATTGGTTGCCTCCTATATATGCCTCCAGTGGGGACCAAACCTGCAACCTAGGTATATGCCCTCACTGGAAATTGAACCCAAGTCCTTTTGATATATGGGGTGATGCTCCAACCAACTGAGCCACACCGGTATCTTTTTTACCACCTCTCATTTCCCCCACCCCTCAGCTCCTGGCAACAACCATTCTACTCTCTACTTCTATGGCTTTTATTATTATCATTAGTCTTAGTAGTAGTAGTAGTAGTAGTAGTAGTATTTAGATTCCATATATAAGTAATACCATGCAGTATTTGTCTTTGACTTTTTTTATTTAGCATAATGTCCTCCATGTTGTTGCAAATGGCAGGCTGTCCTTGTTGTTCAGGTTGTAGTTCATGTTGTACATATACCACAAAGATGATGATTCCTGAGCTCGGGGACAGTGTGGGTTTTCATCCCCCTGTGATTGGACCTGCCACTACCTCTGCGGCATTACAGCTGGCGGGGTACATGTTATCTCCCCAGATCATCAGTTCCCTGGGAAAGGTTCAGAATATCACATCTCTCCAACTTGGGCACCCAGTGGCCCCCCTGACCTTGTGGCTGACTGGCCTGATGGGTTAGACACAGCAGAATCCAAGTCTGTCCTTCCCATGTGACCTTGGGGTATTCAATGGACTCCTTGATACTTGGCCTACTTATGAATTAAATGGGACAGTGAACCTATCTTGCATGTGTATCATCAGGGTGAGAAAGAGTGTCCATGAAGCACCTGACACAGCGGCTCACAATAAATGACCAATACCCCTGCAGTCAGTGAAACATCTATGGGGAATTTCCCATGTGCGAGGCATGGTTGATAAGGGCCCATTTAATGTTGTCCAGTAAAGTAGCTACTGTCATTGCCCTCACTTTGAATGGAGAAGATGAAACAAAATGCTTCAAGCAATGGGATGTCCCTGCTCTGAAGTGACAGCTCCATGTTAAAAAAAAAGAAAGAAGAAAAAAGAAACTTGCTCTGGCTGGTGTGGCTCAGTGGATTGAGCTCAGGCCTGTGAACCAAAGGGCTGGCAGTTCAATTCCCAGTTAGGGCACATGCCTGGGTTGAGAGCCAGGTCCCCAGTAGGGGGTGCTCCAGAGGTAACCACATATTGGTGTTTCTCTCCCTCTCTCTCTCCCTCCCTTCCCATCTTTCTAAAAATAAATAAAATCTTTAAAAAATGTTTTTAATGTTATTTTTCAATTACAGTTGACATTCAATATTATACTACTTTCAGGTGCACAGTATAGTAGGTTGGACATTTATATACCTTACAAATTGTCACCCTAATAAGTCTTGTACCCACCTGGCACCATACATAGTTATTACAACATTGTTGACTGTATTCCTTGTGCTGAACTTTACATCCCTGTGACTATTTTGTAACTGCCAATTTGTACTTCTTAACCCCTTCCCCTTTTTCACCCAGCACCCCCAAGCCCCCTCCCATGTAAAAACCACCAGTCTGTTCCCTGTGTCTACTAGTCTGTTCCTATTGTGTTTCTTCATTTATTTTGTTTTTTAGATTCCAGATATTAGAAAAATCATATGGTACTTATCTTCCTCTGCATGACCCAGCAATTCCATTACTGGGTATTTACCTAAAGAAACCCAAACCACTAATTCAAAAAGATTCACGAACCCCTATGTTCACTGCAGCGTTATTTACAATGGCCAACATAAGTGCCTATCAGTAGATGAGTGGATTAAAAAATCTGTGGTACGTTTACACAATGGAATATTACACAGCCGTGAAAAAGAATGAAATATTGCCACTTGTGACAGCATGGATGGACCTTATGCTGCGAGAAATAAGGCAGCTCCACGTTTTGAAGCCAGGTTGTCTGGCTCCTCTTACCTGTTCTAAATTCCATCAGCGTGTTCCAGAAGCCAAACTGATTCTCTGACCTGCTCCTTTCCTTCCAGACACCAGAGTCATCTTTGTCACCACCTTCAGCTGCCTCATCATCTTCCTCCTCTTTCCCTCTATATTCCTCATCTACAGATGCACTCAGCATGGTGAGTAGATAGCAACCCCCATCAAAACCACAGGAGAGCCCTAGCTGGTGTGGCTCAGTGGATTGGGCACCAGCCTGTGAATGGAAGGGTTGCTGGTTCAATTCCCAGTCAGGGCATATTCCTAGGTTTCAAGCTGGGTCACCATTTGGGGGCATGTGAGGGGCAACTGATCAATGTACCTCTTGTACATTCATGTTTCTCTTCCTTTCTCCCTCCCTTCCCCTCTCTCTAAAAACAAATAAATAAAATCTTTTTTAAAAACCTACAGGGGAACAGAAATAAAGAGAAGGATTCTCTCATTTGATAAATTTCCCCCTGTGTTTTTTTATAGGTTCATCACATAAAGAAGCCACCAAGAGGTACATAGATATACTTGGCAGGTGTCTCAGCCCATCCTTCAGGAACCCCATTTTCCCAGACCCCATTTTTCAGGCCCAACCACACCCTGTTCCTTGACCATGCCCCTCCCTCAGTCTGAGGTGTGACCTTCCTCCTCTCCTCTCCAAAGCCCTTATCTTCCCTCCAGAATCTTCATGCCCCACACTTACCATGTGTTTCTCTCTCTCTCCGAACAAGCCATTCCAAGTTCCCCAAGCAGGAGGCTTCAGGTAAGTGATAAGAGAAGAACCCAGGAGAGAACAGAGGGCAGTTGGACTCCTGCTGACTGAGAACTGAAGTGTTTTTTTGTTTTTATTTTTTCCCTCACTCACATGCAGATTTACCCAAGCTGGAAACAGAATCTCTCTCGGTGAGTTCTCCCACCTCTTGGAATTCCCCCAAGAGCTGTCTTAGCAACCCGGCTGGTCCTGCCTGCTTCCCAGTTCAGCCCACAGTCTGGTTACATGGATACCCCAACTCATACCATCAAGAGACCAGTTAATATCGTGTCTAAAACCAGGCACTTTGACCAAACTCCTAAAAACAAGAAAGTGGAATGGTGGTTACCAGGAGCTAGGGGACGGAGCAACTGGGGAGGTGATGTTTAAGGGTACAGACTTGTAACTCATAAATAAATGTCCTGCAGAGCTGACACATGATAGCTCACAGTAGGTATTATAAACTTCAAAGTTGCTAAGAGGATAGATCGAACTTGTTCTCACCACACACAGAAGGTAATTAAAGGTAATTACATGCCCTTTGGAGGTGCTAGCTAACATCACGAATTGCAGAATATAAATGTATCAAATCAATAGGTTGTATACCTTAAACTTATATAATGCTATATGTCAATTATATCTCAACAAACAAACAAACAAACAAAAAAGCCGTGTCCTTTGAATGACAAAGTAGCTGAATCTCAGCTCCCAATGTCTCCTATGGATCGCCAGTATGGTCTGACATGAATCATGAAGTCCCTGTGATTTGAGCCCTGAGTTTCATACTGTATCTAGTGGGAAGCAAACTCCCCATGGAAAAGGCTTGTGTAAATCGAGCAAGGTCATAAACATAAAAAGCTTCCTGGAGTTTCTGGCAAATTTTAAATGTCAGGTGGATGGTGTGAAAACGTCAATGAATAAATGTTAATCAATTTACATCAATCAGTTGTTTTACTATTTAAAACACTGCTGATTTGTGATTCCACATTGATTAGCATTCCATCTAAGAGCAACATAAGATAACATTTATACAATTTTCCACGGGACACAGAGGTTCACTAGCTCATTCTTTACGCCAGAGCAAATAGAGGGTTACCAAAAGGTTCAAGGAGTTCACTATCATGTTGAAAAAATACTCATGCACATTGTGTTCATTTAGATATAAATCTATATCTATAGATGTAGATAGATAGATGTAAATAAATTTATAAAAGAGGCATAGTGCCCAGGCTGGTGTGGCTCAGTGCATTGAGTGCCAGCCTGAGAACCAAAGTCAGGGCACATGCCTGGGTTGTGGGCCAAGTCCCCAGTAGGGGGTGCACAAGAGGCAACCACACACTGATGTTTCTCTCCCTTTTTTTCTCCCTCCCTTCCCCTCTGTCTAAAAGTAGATTTTTAAAAATCTTAAAAAAAAAGGCATAGTCACAAATTAAGCATAAGTTAACAAATCTGGTCCATTTCACATGCTGGATTAATGTCATTATTTCATAAATTATTGATAATGTTATAACAGTATAATATCAAGATATGGTACCTTCACACCCTGAAGTACTATTCAGCCATGAAAAGGAAGAAACTACTGATACATGCGGTAAGCAGGTGCACTTCAAAAACATTTTGCTAAGTGAAATGAGCCAGAAATGAAAGACTATATATATTGTTGCTCCATTTATATAAAAGTCTCCAGAAAAGGCAAATAAGTAGTTGCTTGTGGCTGGAGTAGGGGGAGGGGTGGGGTGGGAGGCAGGAGAGCAAGGTTTACCTGTAGATAGGCACAGGGGAATTGGGGGGAGTGGGTGATGCACGCCCTCAAAATAGATTGTGGGCTACATCATTGTACAAATTCACTAAAAGTCATCTAACTGTACACTTATCATAGGGGAATTTACTAGGGACATCATACATTATTCATTTATAAATTACACCTCCATAACATTGTTTAAAATGAGAATATAACAGTACACAGTGCCAACAGGTGTTCTCATGGGATGGTAGCTCTTCTCCAAGGCACTTTTGCAATGACTTTTATCAGCACCAGGTACTACTGGTTGTCAGAATCCTTTCATTAGTACTAGAGTCAAAGCCCTCATTCTCCATGAGGCTCAGCCGGTATAGGATGTTGTGCATCTGGGCCACCCGATGCCACAGCCCTCAGTCACACATGGCTGCCACACATTTGAAATTACTGCTCGCTGGACGTATTTTTACATTTAATTTAATTCAGTTTAATTCAAATTAATTTAATTTAATTTTAGTTCATTTAAATTTAAGTAACTGGATGTGGCTCAAGGCCACCACATTGGGCATGTCAGCTCTAAATGCCGGTGTGTACCCCTCTCTTTTCCTGAAAGACTGAAGACCCCCAGGAAGACACCCCTGCTGATGTAAACAATGAGGCACCGGCTGAGGAGGAGCCCCTGGGATCTTGTGAATGAGCCACTGGAGGAAGGACTTCTCCCCTGGGGAGGAGAGTTTGGATTCAGGTGGCTGAAGTGACTGGATGTGTGGAAACCCACATCACGCTGTGTCCTCAGCTCATCGTCCATGCTAATAAAATTAAGGTTTTTCTGCCCTGGCTGATGTGGCTCAGTGGACTTCGTGCTAACCTGCAAATCAAAGGGTGGCCGGTTTGATCCCCAGTCAGGACACATGCCTAGGTTGTGTGTCAGGTCCCCAGTAGGGGGCGCATGAGAGGCAACTACACCGTGACGTTTCTCTCCCTCTTTTTCTCCCTCCCTTCCCCCTCTCTAATAATAAATAATAAATAAAATATTTTTGAAATTAATGTTTTTCTTCTTGCTTCCACTCCTCTCAAAAACTACTGGATGGGTTTTTCTAAATTCTGGAGTCTAGCTTTAGTATGGTTTGACTTAAAACATAGGCTAAGATTATGTCCTACATACATGGACTGGTGGTACTTATAATATTCACTTGGGGATTTGTGGACAGCACCCCATGAATGGAAAATGGTTTCCCTAGAGAGGCCTGTGTGGCTGCAATCAGGTGAGGCATTCCCTAGACACAGGGCTTTGGAAAAGGAGCACAAAACATGAGCCACAAAGTGATGGGACACTCAATGATGAGCTAATGACAGCATCCCTATGGAGCATGCAGCCCGGCCAGCAGCTAAATGTATTTGTGTCATAATTTTCTCATGATGTGTTGGGCAGCCATGTAGTCTCAAGTCCAGACCAGTTTCCTCTCTGACATGACTGCCACCATATTTCTGTTTGTGTTATTTCCTCAATGGTTTTAAACTGTTTAACTTATTGATTTTAGAGAGAGAGGAAGGGAGAATGAGAAAGAGAGAAACATTGATCTGTTGTTCCATGTATTTATGCATTAATTAGTTGATTCTCGTATGTGCCCTGACCAAGGATCAAACCTGCAATCTTGGCGTATCAGGAAAATGTTCTAATTAACTGAGCTACCCGGCCAGGGCTGTATATAAACACTCTTAATGCATAAACATATGCTGAATAACTTTTCTCTTTTTAAAAGAGAAAGTCACCGAATAACATGAATGGAAATACCCACACCAACCTTATTTTCTTGACACTAGTATTTTGCTTCCCAATCTTTTTCTTCCCTCTCCTCACCAGAAGTAAACATTTTCCAAGGTTGCACATATTATTCCTAGGCATTTTCATACTTTCACAACCCAGACATCTATTAATAGTTCACTCATGGCACCGTTTTATGTTATTAATGTATATACATATGAAACACTTATTTGAAAGAATATAGGCACCCCTACATTCAGTGAAGCATTCTTTACTATAGCCAAAATATGGAAGCAACCCAAGTGTTCATCAATAAACAAGTGGATATAAAAGATGTGGGACATATATCCAAAGAAATATTATTCAGCCATAAAAAGAATGAAATCTTACCATTTGCAAGAGTATGGATGCACCTAGAGGATATTATGCTCAGTGAAATAAGTCACAGAAAGACAAATACCATATGGTTTCACTTATCTGTGAAATCTAAAGAACCAAAATAAGCCCAGGCTGGTGTGGCTCAGTGGATTGAGTGCCAGCCTGTGAACCAAAGGGTTGTGGGTTGGATTCCCAGTCAGGGCACTCGCCTGGGTTGAGAGCCAGGTCCCCAGTAGGGGGCACCCAAGAGGCAACCACACATTGATGTTTTTCTCCCTCTCTTTCTCCCTCCCTTCCCTCTCTAAAAATAAATAAATAAAAATCTTTTAAAAATAAAGAACAAAATAAATGAACAAACACAACAAAAACAGACTTAGATATGGAGAACAGACTGATGGCTGCTAGAGGGAAAAGGGGTTGGGGCACTCAGTGAAAAAGATGAAGAAACTGAGAAGTACAGATGGTAGTTGTGAAATAGTCATATGTTTGTAAATTACAGCACAGGGAATATAGACAATAAGAGTCTAGCAACTACATGTGGTGCCAGGTGGGTATTATAATTATCAGGAGGAATCACTTCATAAGTCTAATCACTATGTTGCACATCTGAAAATAACAAAAAATAATATTAAGTGATAACTGTAACTAAAAATTAAAAATTAAAATTAAAAATTAAATCTATGGAGAGGAAATAGATACATACATATGTATGCAATCATACTTCATATTACAATTATGGGACCTTTTCTTATTGCCTTCCCCATCATGCTTTTGAAATTTACCCAGGTGGTTTTTGCAGGTTGGGCTTGCTGTTTACTGTGTAGAATTCAGCTGTTAACCCTACCATGGAATATTGCACACCCGTAAAGAAGGCATGAGGCACTCTTATAAGCCACAAAATATATGGACCTTGACAACATTATTATTATAAGTGCAAGAAGTCAAACACAAAAAGCTGCATATTGTAGCATCCCATTTATGAATAAGTCCTTAGAAACAGCATGCAGGCTGGTGGCTTGCAGGTGCTTCAGGGGAAGGGAATGAGGAGAGACTGCAAAAAGGTACAGAGTTTCCTTTGGGGAGAATGAGAAAAATGTGAAATTAGAGAGTGCTGTTGGTTGCATGACCTTGTGAGTTAGTAAAAAAACTTTGAATTGTACACTTTAGGAGTGTGGGTTTTATGATATGTTAATTATGTGTCAATAAAATGAATGTTTGAAAAGAACTCAAACCATGGTGCCTCTTCATTCTTTCTCCAAATGTTAGATATTTTGGGTGTTTCCAGTGCTTTGCCATCAGCAAATTGCTGCAATAAACACCTTGTTCCAGGCTTTTTGTTCACAAGTGTGTGACCTCTCTAGGGTAGGTATTTAGAAGTAAAATCTGCCTTCTGCCCATGCCTTTCATCCTACTAGGAGAGGAAAATTGATAAGTAAGGTGGTTTCCAATTCCCCCACATCCTTGTCAATGCATAAATGTATTAAACTTCTCCATTTTTGCTGATAAAAAAAAGGGAAGTCAGCCCTGGCTGGTGTGGCTCAGTGGGTTGAGTGCCAGCCTGTGAACCAAAGGACAGCTGGTTTGATTCCCAGTCCCGGCACATGCCTGGGTTGCAGGCCAGGTCCTCAGTTGGGGGCATGTGAGAGGCAGCCAATTGATGTTTCTCTTGCATGTCAATGTTTCTTTCCCTCTCTTTTTCTCTCCCTTCCCCTCACTCTAGAAGTGGATAAATAAAATCTTTAAAAAAGGAAGAAGGGAAGTCATACCCCATTTTAAGCTGCCTGTATAAAGACATCTCATTGGTGCTTTATTTCTGCATTTTCCTGAGGTGAGTGAGGTTTATTGAGCATTCGGGGTTCCTCTTCTGTGAGTCGAAGGTTTCTATCTATTGTTCCTTTTTCTGTTGAATTGCTAGCCTCTTCCTTATTAATTTGAAGGATGTATTTACACACTTTTCCTGGGTAAGCTTTATGTTGCAAATACCTTGTATTTCCTTTGTTTTTGTACCTTTTAATGTTAGCTACTCAGAATAATTCATCTTTCAATTTATATTTGAGGGTGTTCTTTTTTAATATATTTTATTGATTATGCTATTACAGTTGTCCCATTTTCTCCCCTTCACTCCCCTCCACCCTGTACACCCTCTCCCACCTACATTCCCCCCTTTAGTTCTTGTCCATGTGTCATAAGTTCTTTAGCTTCTACATTTCCTATACTATTCTTGCCCCCCCATCTATTTGTCTATTTTCTACCTACCATCTATGCTACTTATTCTCTGTACCTTTCCCCCACACACACTCCCCCGTTGAGGGAGTTCTTTGTGTCTCAACTAGCTTTGCATGAGAAATATACTTTCCCATAATGTTCTTCTAAATTTTAGATTTAAAATGTGTTTTAAAAGTGTTGTTTTTAGCCCTGGCTAGTGTGGCTCAGTGGATTGAGTGCCAGCCTGCAAACCAAAGGGTTGTGGATTTGATTCCCAGTCAGGACACATGCCCGGGTTACAGGCCAGGTCAGGCCCCCAGTAAGGGGTGTGCAAGAGTCAGCCACGCACTGATGTTTCTCTCCCTCTCTTCCTCTTTTCCTTTCTCTCTGGAAATAAATAAAACCTTTTTTAAGAAGTATTGTTTTTATCTTTAATTTTTCTGAAGTGAATTCTTTTTTTTAATCCTCACCTGAGGATACATTTATTGATTTGAAAGAAAGGAAGAGAGAGACACATCACTGTAACAAACATCCATTGCTTGCCTTCTGTATATGCCCCAACCAGGGATTGAACCTGCAACCTTTTGGTGTACGGGACGACACTCCAACCAACAACCAACTGAGCCACCCAGGCAAGGCTGAAATCAATTCTTGTCTACAGTGTGAGGTAGAGATCTCATTTTCCCATTTAGACCAATTGCCCTAGTGCCCTCTATTGAAAAGCTCTTTTTCATTTAAATTGTGTCTTCAATTTACTGAAATATGACATCTATGTCATCTACCCCGCTTTCCATCATGAGAGTTGTTCAGATACTTGACTGGAAATGGCAAAGTTAGGAAAAACTTACCTTAAAAAAGGAATTGAACTAAACTAGATCAAGTGGACTAAGGTAGATGCATATTAAAAACATAATGTTGTTTTTTCTATTCAAGTTGCAAAACAATATTACCATATGGTTTTATGGATTTAAGTTTTTCCCAAAGGAAACTCTCTATCCAGAATAATGTATATACATAAAAATGTACAAATCATAAAGAACAGTTCAATGAATTTTCACAAGGTGATACACCCTTGAAACCAGCACCCTGATTAAGAAGTCAAACCTCACCAAGCATCCCAGAAGACCTCCTTGCTGTCTTGCAGGTAGGTACTACATCCCTGCAGAGGTAACTGTTATTGTAACTTCTAACCCTATAGGTTGGTTTTGCCTAGTTTTGAAATATATGTACATGGGATAATACATACAAAGAGTAAGAAAGAAAGAAAGAAAGAAAGAAAGAAAGAAAGAAAGGAAGGAAGGAAGGAAGGAAGGAAGGAAGGAAGGAAGGAAGGATCAGGTAACCAAACTGAGGAAAAGACCAAGCTAGAGACCACTTCAGACAGCTGCCTTCTGTCCTCGAAAGCTGTTTAGACTTTTCTTCTGTCTCTTATCTCTATTTATTTGTGTTATCATTATTTTTAAAGGTTTTACTTATTTATTTTTTAAAGAACTTATTTATTTATTTTTATGGAGAGAGGAAGGGAAGGAGAAAGAGTG